AGAGCCTTGAGACTCAAAACTAAAGAGCGATTTTCTTTGTGGAAGTTGTTCTGATCAATAGGAGTAGTTCCAATTGCAGTTACTGGTATGTGGGTTTGGTTTGGATTGTAAAGAAATCTTTCCTATTCTCTCTCTCTTCAATCACTCTTTGAGTCACTTTCATATGAAGTGTTTCATCAAGTCTTCCTGCTACCAATTAATCAAGGCATATGTAGTACCACTATTTAAAGGCATCGTTTAACAATGTTCAATCTGAGATGCACAGCCCTACTTATTATCAGTGTCTGTGATATGGTGTAATATTGAAGCCCTAAAAAAATTGCGCTTCAAAATGATCAAGAAATGCCTCAAAAAAGTAAAAATCTTTGAGTGACCGGTTTTACCATAGTCATTTCCCCCAATAGACTGTAGTGTTATCAAAGCCGTTAGAAAAACGCAAAATTTGATTTCTATTTCCAATCATAAATATCTTGATAATCAGACAGGCGATCGGCTTGTAAAAGTCATGGGGTTCCTGACTGACCTAAAGGTATCTAAATTGATTGCAGCATGAGCTAAATCCAGGATTTTGTTTCAGAATCTGAGACAAAGTTACCCAATCCCTTTAAGCAGAGACTCGGACCTTGTTTACCTTTCAAAACCACTTCTAAAAAACTCTGGCAGACTATGATTACATGGTAAGCATTTCTATATCTTACAACACAAGGAAATATGCTTGGGGCTATTGGGCCTCATACATTTTTCATCCCGCCACCCATTTATTCACACGTTTTTATTTTGCTGCGACTGAATTTCTCAGTCAGTGTACCACACCATGTGTAAGGAGGCCTTGTAAGATTGCTTTACTGTAAATGAACGGGAAAATGTAGCTGCCAACAACAAATTCTAATTTCATTAATGAACTTTACGTGTACATGCAGAATAATTCTGTGCGTCTACGGAACCTGTCACAACCTGTACATAATCCTTTAAGAAACAGATTGACAAATGTTGTTAGTTGTCATATACATGCACACCAATGTACGGATTCGTTGGTTCATGATAATGACTACGGTTTTTAATCAATTGAGAAACTTAGCATTAATATTCAAAAGTGAAATGCATATACACAACCAAACCATCAGCAGTATCCCTAGATTTCCCAGCTGTAAGTTTCACACAATGACAAATCTAAATCAGTCCACGATGAGCTGCAGTTTTGCTTTTGGTGTTAATAGAAGGATGTACAATGAAATACAGTGGAAACTCTTTATAACAAGGTCCTTGGGAACATAGGAAAGTACCTTGTTATATCAGGGTTAATAAAACAAGAATATAAAGAGCTGGGACCAGCAAAATCACCGTTATTACAGATACAGTGGAAAAAATACACGGGGGCTCGGGCGGAGTAGCCCCCCCAAATTTGCATAGAGTTCAATGCAAAACAAATTAAAGAGTGTTCTTGTCATGCAAGCAAGCTTGAAAAGTAGCCCCCAAAATTTTTAAAGTATTTTTTTCCCTGAACAGATACCTCATTACATCTGAGCTCTTCATACCGAGGTTCCACTGTACAGAGAGTTAACAGCCATAAGTCCCTGAGTTAACATAGGTAAATCTTGAGGGTTGTCTGACTAGCATACACTATGAACATAACGGACAAAGAAAGTGGACAAAACATACAGTTCCTCATTCTACCCTCAACAATTGCTATGGTAGACAAAGGAACATCCCTTCACTGCTATATGTAAAAATGTGTAGAACAGGTGAATATGCATGTGACACCTGTTCTACAGATTTTTACATCTTAGCAGTGAAGGGATGTTCCTTTGTTTACCATATTAATGGGGTAGAATGAGGAACTGTATATTTTGTCCGCTTTCTTTGTCCATCATATTCATAGTGATAAGGAGTGAAAAAGAGTCTTTTCAACACATTCATTCCAGTGGAGTGATTTTATAAAATTTATAAGATTCTATAAAATTGTACCAAACGGCCAAATTTAAAATTGGCGAGGGCCCTGAGTAAATATTCCATCTTTTTGCAGGATAGGAAAAATTTGTCTTGTCATTGTGCATTTATCAGGGAACTAGGTTTTTTGGCAATGTACATGTAGCACTTGGCTTGACTGATATCCCATGCATGATGGAATAATTTGGAAAGAACCCAAAGAAGTTCAGGAAATATATCGTTCATTAGTCACATGATATGAAAAAGGGATTAGAATGAGTTTGACAGCATCACATTCAGTCTTATCATAGAATCCTGACATTTAACAATTATAATAATTAATAAGAATGATATTGGGTTCTTGCATTTAGTGCTCATATTTGTCAGACTTGACACTCCTGGTGCTACCAAGAAAAAAATGAATGAAACAATATTGATCTATTTCCATAGGAATTTTGAAATATTAAATTAAATTTCCTCTGACGAATGCATTTAATTTTGTCAAAAATATACAGAAAGGTATAATTGAACCAAAGCTTTTAAACTAAAGTCAAATACATGTTTACAGGAGTTACAGATACCTACACACTGTACATCATTCAAATTCTAATGGAAATCATAAATAAATTAACAAAATAATGAATATTCGTTATTTACTTTATTAATAGGAAAACACAACATCGCAAGCATTGTTCAGCCATTCGTACCCTAAAATATGAAGAATATAAAATAATTGTTCTTATGTTATATTTACAGATTCTTTTTAGTTGTGATACATGTATGATCCTACCTCAAGAAAAAGTATTCCCTTCTATACAACTGAATGCTTGCAGCGATAGCTTATATTTGATATGAAAATCAAGATTATTACAACATAACCAGGCAAACATATTCTATTTTTTATGCATAACTCCTATTTTATCTTCCAATATGTACACAAATGCAATACAATATATCCTATTTACTATAAAAAAAAAAAAATAACATCCCAACACACATTGTATTTCGTAGAAAATATAAATACAGCACTGTACATACAAAAACATTGCTATAGTTGGTTTAAAGTTCATTTAGTACAGAAAAGTATATACTATTTGGTTTTGACTGTAGCCAATTGCAAACATTTACAAACTGTCTTCAAAGTGGTATTTCTTTGATTATTATGTCCGGTTTTGACCCTCTTTGAGTCTACGTGTATGTTCGAATAAAGTACAGTCACATACAATGTATGTTTCTTCAGCTAGCTCTTGAAAAGCCATTTACACCAATCTAATTTAGTTTGAAAATCTGCAATCTAGTACTGAAGTATGAGATCATATCACCCTCTTTTATCTCCGAGTTGCTATGATAAAAAGCACGGGTTTCATTTGAAACCTACATCAACTGTTTCAAAGTTGCACTAATTTGAGCAAAGATGTTTACTTTTGTTCTAGTCCAGCAAATGAACCGAGTTTATTGTAAGCAATAGTGTGTGTACATTGCAAAGCAGTGTAAAGCAAGTGTGATAAAATAAAATGTTTTTGCAGCTCTTACTTTTATAATGTACATGTATTAAAGGTACTACATGTATGTCCCATTTGCAGGCCCAAAAAATGAAAAAGTTAAATTCCAACTGCATTTGAAAGATAATACTAATTTAGAACTTCCCTAAAAAAGGTGGGGCTTGAAAATGTCTTGTGTGGGAAAATAATGACTATTAGTTGTCAAATCGACTTTAGGGCTATAGAGCCCAAAAGTAATAGTCTTGATTTTCAGACAACTGTACCGAATGGTCATACGTTTTATGCTGCGCAAAGATTCAATCAGTTTAATCTTGGCCATCACAAGAAGTGGGTTATTGATGTAGGCAAATGCTCATGTACCCTTTACAACTCTTTTCATGTATGTTATTACCAAAGAAGAAAAAAGCCAGTCAGTCACTCAATAGTGTCTGACAGTGAAGTCTAGCAAGTAAACGGGTTTCCTTGCATAATTTGAATATGAGGACACTGCTAACGTTTAAGTTTCACAGATAGGACATACATGACATATTCATAATTCCTGCAAAATTCTACAGCATTTGAGGTTGGCTGCAAAAGGGACATAGTACCTTTAATATGGTAATCTTCCAATATACATGTAAATGATGTAATTCTAAATATTAATTTGTGGGAAATGGGCAAAAAATGTGACACCGACTTGTTTCTTCAAGAGCTCACACAGAAATTACTGCTTTTACAGTACATGTTCATGTATGGTACATGTCAATATATAAATGTAAAAAGATTTGTACTTAGTCAATGCATACATAGAAATGTTTCTTTCATATACTTCTAAGTACTTTGTGCTAAATAAAAGTAGAACTCTTTATTTTGATAAATTGAAGACACTTGAGCTGTGAGTACTGTGCATGTATAAGACTACTTTTGGTTTTACTACTAGTTTCTCTCCAATAGATATTTACATTTCATACAATACGATTTTACAAGAGAATTAGATACATTGTTTATGCATCCGACAAAATTGACAGATTATTTTACTGGAATGAGATTTTCTAGTTTGAGAAGTACACAATGTAGTAACTAAAATCTTCATCATAAAGACAAGTTCAGATAAGACCCAGTAAAACCAGTTTTGGTATAGGCTTCACATTTCTGTATCAGTGAAAAAAAATACACGGGGCTCGAGGCGAATTAGCCCCCAAAATGCCCAAAAGAGCCCCCGAAAGTCTTAAAGAGCCCTCAAAAATTTGCATAGAGTTCAATGCAAAACAAATTAAAGAGTGTTATTTTCATGAAAGCAAACTTGAAAAGTAGCCCCTGAAATTTTTTAATTATTTTTTTCCCTGTTCTGTATTTTATAAAACAGAGCGCAGTGAATAAGCGCAGGACCTTTGTTGCGAGCATTTGCCATTTATTCATGTTTTAAGACGGGTTGTTTGCTGTCGTTTACTGTGGAATATCTGAACAAGCCTTTATTCTGGCTCAGTTTTTTTTCTTATTCAAAGCCCCACTGTCCTAATTGTATCTACTTGCTCCCTCTATAGAAAACTTCCCCAATCGGTGACCATTGGTCCCCCATGACCTCTATTTCTTATGTTATTTGAGAGCTGAGTTGATGAGATAGCTACCTGTCAGTGACCTCGCTGTGAAGTCTTATCCCTCCTAGCCACACTAGTGTTGATAAGCTTTAATATCTAGCATGATGGTATGACAATTATTCCATGTAAGCCACAGTTATCCCATACTTATTGTAGGTAAATGTACATCTACAAACATCTGTTAATAATGCTCAGGGCCACAGTAACTGAAGCCGTTTGTTGCCTGAATCTGAGACCAACAATCGTCCATCTTTGGTGATGGAAACCCCCAAAGGTTCATCCAGCTGTCCTTCCTCTGAGCCGTGTCGTCCAAGATTCAGAGCGTACGACCCCGAGGGATTGAAGACCTCAACGCGATGATTTCCTCGATTTGCTACGTAGATGTAGCCCTGGGCATCCACCGTGATCCCACTAGGACAGTTCAAATCACCAGGGCTCGTGCCCCAGTTGCCGAACCGGTACAAATACGTACCCTGCGACGAGAAGACTTGCACGCAGTGCTTGAAGGCATCGGTGATCAAGAGTTCTCCTCCTTGTGTAAACGCTATAAAAGCCGGGTTACGGAACTGGCCATCCCTTTCGCCTTTTTTCCCAATCAGCCGGATGAACATGCCTGCCGGGTTGAAGACCTTTACGCAGCCGTTGTTATAGTCGCACACGTAGATGTTGTCCTGCTTGTCACATACCACACCCGTTGGACTATCGAAACAGTTATTAGACTGACCACGGGAGCCAAACTGCTTGAGGCACCTGCCAGTACTGAGATCCCACACCTGAACCTTGTGGTTGTAACAGTCAGTTATGATGATATGACCAGCACTGTTTGAACAGATTCCCTTGGGGAATTGCATCTGCCCAGCACCGCCACCCTTGCTTCCCATTTGACGCAGCAGTCGCCCTTCCTCGTTGATGATCATTACGCAGTGCTGGAGCTCGTCCACAACAGCAAAGCAGTTGTTGAGTTTTTCCAAGACATGGACACCAACTGGTTTCTCAAATACTTGCGGAATGACCACCCCTCGCTTCTTTTGTACTTGGCTGGAACTTTGAGCGCCATTTGATGTAAAAGTGACCCAGGGCTGAGAAGGGTTATTGCTATTACTTGAACTCTGAGAAGATGCTCCCTCTACGACGGAAGGTTGGACACTTGGGCTTGGAACCTGCACACTTGTTCTCGGTGGAAGAGGTGGTGCATCCCCTCTGGTCTGAGAGACGGCAGATGGCACTGTGTGCTGCCGCAGCAGAATGCTTCTCGGGCGATCCACTGAAGGCTGCTGTTCGTTGATAGAGGACATTCTTGCAATGCCCGGTCGGCGTGGAACGGGGGGAGGTTGATCACCACCAGCAGGGTTTGGTAGCGAAGCGGATGTTGCTGCAGGAAGTGCTACTCCAACAGTGTCCATTGACAGGTGCCTGGATAGCCTTGCGGACTGTGATGGAACAGGAACACCTGCAGAAAGTGCAGGTTGTCCTGATTGACCTATAGGCTCAGACAACCTTCTACTTGATCTTGGTTGTTGTCTGGCTACGATACTTCTATCGTCTTGACCTGGTATTACATCTGGTGTAACGGGTGTAATTGTAGGCGATGAAGAAGCACTGGCAAAGGGACTGGGAGACCTTCCATCCCCCAAGGATGCGGCCGAACTACTTTGTGAAAGAGGTGTAGGGATGGAAGAGGAAGAAGCACTGGAAGTTGTCGCAGGAAGAGACATTGATGAGTTGAATGGATTGGAAGGTGAACTTCGCGAGACAGCTGTACCTGGAATCATAGTTGGTCTCACAGCTTGAACAGACTTTGCCTTGTCTGTGCTGATTTCCAAACAACCGTATGCTTGGATACTTATGGAGAGTTGCTGTTGGTTAGGATCTGTAAAGGCCACATTACAAATCCTCTGATCAATGTTCAGAGCGTACTGTTCAATCTGTGACAAGTAACCCCTACACAGGCTGAGCAGATTGATCAGATCTGCTTCACGGGGTTCTACTGATGCCGTCAAGGCATGGCGCATTTTTGAAAAGTCAGTTTGCAGTTTATGCAGGTACTGATAAGCGCTGGCCCTTTGACCTTGTATGAATGCAAGCTCTTCTTGTCTAGCACTTGCGAGTTGCTTAATCAACTGATCCCTACGGGTTTGGAGGTCACGAGTCCTTGCCTCAAAGGCACTATCCACCTGATTCTTCACAGAGAGAAGCAGGTCCTCTGTCTGCTTTTCCTTGATATCGATTCTGCTCAGTTCCACAGACTTCTCCTGGAGCTTCCTGGCCAACAAAGCAATGGAATTCCTGACACCTTCGTTGATGGCTGGTGGCCTGTCGGTTTCCGGTCTCGCAGGAACGGGTGGCGAGGATTCCTTCATGCTCATGGGGGTTGGTGATGGACTGCTCTTCTGTTGGACATCCAACAGAGCCAGCATGGTGAAGTTGTTAGGCAGCTGTGCAGGGCCGTCACCTGGACAGGTGTGTTGCTGCCTGCACTGAGGACACTGGATCCTGTTGCCTTGGTTGAGCATGTCCATGCATTCCAGGCACAGAGTGTGCTGGCATGGTAGGAGCTTGGGCTTGCGGGAAGAGGAGGTGAACAGTTCCAGGCACATGGGACACTCCAGCAACCTCTTGATTTCTTCAGCCATTGTAATATTTTTAAGTGTGCCGTGTCTCGTCAGAAATTTAAGAATTTGGCACAAATATCACATGATATTTAATTTATCCCACTGTAAAAGTGAGTAATGGCGGATTAATATTGTTCAGTTGAATAAAAAACTTTCTCTTTCTTAGTACTTGGTGTCCAATAAGCTCTGTCTTATATCATATAACTTCTATCGATGCTGTAGGAATGTTAACAAGCAGTTTCCCAATATATAATGAGTTGAAAAATCCAAACAAGTCATGAAGTGTTTGCAAATGTCAGAGAGCTCAATGTGATTTCAATCGCTCGAGATGAATCTCACCACATTAATAAGTAGGCCTAGTAATTGGCTTGGGCTGATGATGCCTGTCCAGCAATCACTTGACCACATTCCCGTCCGACAAGTCCGGCAGGAAACCTCATCATGCGTTAACCAGGAATCCACGCTGCCATCAGATGGCTATAACAGCTGACTCTGCCACGGCCACCTCTTTCTTTCTCAATCAGAGATCCTGCAAAGAGAAATGAAACGGAGAAGGAAATGGACATGAGTTGAGTGTGAGTCAGTGTCATTCTGTCAAGTTCATTGGAGGGCAATTACTCTAGGTAATTAATACTTGATGGAAAGAATGGACCTTATCACTTCTCCTTTTTGCTGATTGGTAATTTACTCTGTACATGTAATGGGCATATTTTTTTTTTTTTAAGGTGAAAAGCATTTAAGAAATACACATTTTGGGCAGATGATATGTCAGGCCATGGTATTGTGTAGGAAGAAGTGGGAAGACATTATATTCATTTTCTTGTAATGTACAACAAATTCACTAATTCAAACTTGTTCACTTCTTCAAATGAGTTTAATTGTAGACTTTGAACAATTTAAGATGGACAGATTCAAAGTTGTAAGTCATTTATTTTTACCATGCAGAAAAAGAAAACAAGAATACTATTTCTAAATTATACCTGTACCGGTATCATTACTCTGGCAATAAAAATACTTTTTATTTGATGTATTAAACCTGTCTTATACTAAAACCGCAGGGTTTTGTGCCACATGATCTAGTAATCATGTGGCACAATACATTTTTGTTTCTGAGTGTTGGTGTTGCGACTGCTGCCATCGATTTACATGTATAAATACCCAGTGAAAACTGCATGGAAGCTCATCCTACAGTTATATGTTGAATCTGTTGGGACCTCAAACATAGTTTCACTTGTGAAATTTGGCATGGGAAGTGTAAATAACACATGTCTTGCATACCGTAGTTTGGTCAAAACTATTGATTCAGCTTAGGTAAACTTCGACTTGTCCAACTTTGGGTAATGCAGAGTATCTATACAAGATGAGGTACGGAGCATTACAGATAAATCAATAGCTTGTAATGCTTGCATGCCCACATTCACATTTAATATAAAAGAGCTTTTCATATGAAATGAAAGAGAAACCGACAGTGTCAATTTGAAAAGCCCCAAAACGGGGTAAAATGGGGAAGGGGAAGCCCCTTGTGAAAATGTATCATATAGTTAAATGATGATAATAATAATAATAATAATTGTAAATTTATAATGCGCAGTTTCTATATGTATATACTCAACTGCGCATGACATATTGGATATTATTATTACCCCGGCTTTAGCTGTGCTGCCATTATAGCGCTCTAGCATTTCAAGGAATAAATTCCTACCGGGTACCCATTTACTTCACCTGGGTGGAGTGTGGCAAATGTAGATCAATATCTTGCCAAAGGACATTAGTGCGGCGGCGGGACTCGAACCGCGGACCTTGTGATCGACAGTCCGGCGACGTATCCACTCGACCACAACACCTCTACATTAATAGCTTTTGTGACAATTGCTCTGAACAGGCTTGCAATTGGGTTTAAGATTAGGGTTAGTGTTAGGATTCTGTTGATGTACTCCTGAATGTATCCAGCCACGAAGCAATTGTTGAAGGAGCATTTGTTACACACCTACATGTACACTCTAGATAATATATGCTTAATACACCTGTACATGTACTGTACCTGGCAATATACACGGTATTGCCATGTCAATACACATGTACATGTACATTTGTGGTCACTAACAATTGTAGGCCTAATGTCCATGCCCTATCATTCACCTGTATACGTTCACCTGTATACCCTATACCAATATCCATTCGTGGCTGTCAACCGTTGCTTTCTACACGTGTATGCTGTGCTCTACACTTATGTACAAATCTGTATATCACACCATGTGGGTTGTAATTAATGATTTCAATTCTCTCTCTTGCTCTCTCTCTCTCTCTCTCTGACTCTCTCTCTCTCTCTCTCTGTCATTTATTGATTCAAGGGTGCCAAGAGCAAATCAATTGAGTCCGCACCATTTAGTTGGATAGGTTTGATCCACTCCCACTCCCACTACGAATGTAGTACCTACATGCAGTTGATTTCTTTCATGTTCAGAGACAGAAGGGCATGGAATGTGTACAAATATTTTTGAGTCCTAAACATCATACTGGCTCCAAAGGAATATTGTTTTAACTTGCTTTCTAAAACACAAGTGTCGGCTGACACTGTCCATACACTGAAATATCAAAGTGAAAATGACTACCGTACCCGGTAGAGTCCAATTTCGAGATCTTACTGTATGTAGTACAGAGGAGACTTACATGGCAGTCCAGTAAACTACAGTGTATGATCTATATTATATCAATTAGTTTTTAGAATGTTTTGAATGTTGGAATAGAAGGATGTCCCTACAATTTTCAGCTGAATTGTTTTTCTTCCAAGTTTATTGGTAGCCTTTCCTCTCGTTCCTTGAGGTGATCTGTAATCCACAGAATGCATCACTTTTAAAACACAGTAGGCTAGACCGTACTTTTAAAACACAGTAGGCTAGACCGTAGGGTCTAGTCTCACCACCACCAAACTGACTACTGACCAGCAAATCTTGACCATTTGGGGGCCAGTTTCTTGAAACAGTCATAGGTCTACATTCATGGGCATCCCATAGAAAAGCGTGTTCATTCTAAAACACACCATCCAATGGGATGTCCAAGAAGTTAAAGGCCCACTGTACTTCTTGTAGCTACTTGCTCCCTCTATATAGAAAACAAGCTGAGTTGATGAGGTAGCCAACTGTCAGTGACCTTCCTGGGTGGTCTAATCCCACCTAGCCAAACTAGTACAGATGGCATTTAAGACTTATGACTGTTTCGAGAAACGGCCCCCTGGTGGACAGTACATGTAAATAATTGTCTATTGTCAGACTGCTGGGTGTCATCATTGTACAAGGTAGCTAGCTGAGATACAGGTATTAGAGAAGACGTTATCTAGGCATTATACTATCTCTCAGCAACCATCAATTAGACTGCACTCCCCCTCACATGCTGATTCACATGTAGTAGATTATACTAAGGGTGCGTTCAAGCGAGTTTATGAAGCTAGAATCACAAACAAGAATCACAAATCAAAACGCTATTAACAAACACAGTTACTGTGGGAGAGCGTGCAAGCAAATTTTCATCAACGCTGATTCTCGCTCATTTCAAGCCCAGCCACTGCTCATCACACTGTGCAGTTTGACCCAGGAAGTATAGGTCAACTTCGCCGCGTGCTTTTTGTCTGTGTTTACGGTCGACTGTTGGTCAAACCGGAACAGGCCACGATAATGACATCATAGAATCATGATTGAGATCTCTGTTCGTTCAATCGATTTTAGCGACCATGATTCTGCAAAATCATGATACAAAACACATCTTTTCGTTTTTGTTTGCATGTGAATCTAAAAGAATCTACTCATTCTGATTGCGATCAAAATTTCACTCTTTAAAGCATGTGAATGCCCATATTGTACATGTTTGTGAGACTAACGATTTTCAATGTCTGAGAAACATTTTACTTTTAGAATACCTGCACCCAGTTAAATGCCAAAAAATAATAAAAAACAACAATGGATTCTTGTACTGTTACTACATGTAAAGCGCTGTCGTCTGGCACATCACACCTCCTAGAGCTCCATTAATATTATCCTGACTTTAGCACAAATGATACAAATCAATGGAATTTTAAACAAGTACAGGAGCACATGGTTTGAAACTTTGAATCTATGTTGTGGAACACTTTTTTTTTTTATCTAAGGATAACATTTCTTTTAGGTGCCTAGACTCCATAAGCTACAGTGTAAGATTTGTCTACTGTATCCCATTCTCTATCACCCACTCTTGCTCTCATCACCATTTTTTTTCTACACACCATGTAGAGCAGATGTCCCTGACCTCACTCACTCATAGTCATATATTGCACAATGTCACACGTTAAAGCCATGTAGAAGGAACTGTGGCTGTTGCGGTTGGCAAAAGACCATTTCATAAACAGAAAAATCCTGGTCAGTCAGTGAAATATTTCCTTCCTTCCTTGAGTTGATACAGTTACACCCACTCTTCCTTCTTCTAGTATACATCGAGGGCTCAGTGACACAAAGATGTAACTCCATTTTGGCCACTTTGAGAAAAAGTGGTTTTAAGATAGAGGTCCACTTGGGCCTTAAGGATTTAGTCTATGTTTCACTAGCCATTGACTTCAATGGGGTGTTGGGTGGAGTTAAGTCTTCATGTTTCCTGGAAAGCCCACATTTGTCTGAACATTTTGATATCAAATACTCATTTTGGCAAAATAAGGAGTTACATCTCTGTTTCACTGAACCCCTCGACATGTAGTTTTCTTTTCCACCTGTACAACGAGCTTCCACTATTAGAAAGGTAGGCCTACTCATGTCTAGACCTTGGATTGATTTTTTTTTTTTATAGGGCTTTTTGATCATGTACTGTATATATTTAATCAAATTGGCACCAATCATTTTTTTTTTTTTTGTATTGATATATTTTTAAACTGGAATGTAGTTAGTGTGGAAACAATATTACATGTTGCGGTAGTCCGACTCCGGTACACAGGTATTTAAAGAATGTCAAAAATATGAAAATATGACTGCAATGATTACAACATGGATATGAATTTGAAGGCCAGCTAGAGGTAGTAGAGGTGCAATATTTGATCATGTATTGATAATCAATTGTCAACAATTTTGTTTTGTATTGATATATTGTTAAACTAAAATATAGTGTCTTCAAAAACAATATACATGTACATGGATAAAAATGTTGTCAAAAATGTGAAAATATGACTGCTGTGATTACAACATGGATATGAATTTGAAGGCCAGCTAGAGGTGTAAACACCCCCCCCCCCCCTCCCATTTATTATGCTCAAGTTGAAAAAGTACAATATTATTACCAATGGGTTCAAAATTGACAAACCATTTCCTTTGAACTTTTGTACAAATGTGACATTACCCAACGGACAAAGCAAATCAGAATAAAGAAAAGTGCATTTGAACATATGGATGAAAGCAAATGTAATTTCCATCCCTTATGTTTGTGTGTTGTCTTCATGTGACACTTCCGTCCTCATTTGAACACATTTCCTTTCGCACATCTGGGTAGGTGCTGACTGCAAGGTCTAGAATGGAAAATGGAACATATCATGTTTCATTGGTAAAAAGGATATTACCTTTCCCTCTTTTCCTTTCATTGTGAAATGGTGAATGTACTTTGTCGTTTCATGTGAAAGCAAATTTTCCCAAGGTAGACAGAAACAAATTATATAAAACCAGATGCTCCAAAGTCCACATAGATATTATTTGTTTACTAATCCTACCCTACTCTCATTGATAAATTTATACCCCCTGTCTATCACATTAAAGGTAATACAAAGTTTTGGGAAATTTTGAAAGTTGGGTGGATAGTGATTCTTTACAATTTTGATATATTTAGAGGCCCATGTGGATGTGTTTTAAGCACTAGAAAATTTAGGCCCTATAACACTTCTGCTTTCGAGAAAAATTAAACATAAAAATTTACCGGTACTCCCGGTAAATGTTGATGAATTTCAAATAGCGCCTACGGCCGTACACTGGTAGTTGCGACCATGGAAATCTCAGAATATGTAGTTATGATGTATAATTTCCAAACGGGAATAGCTAATCGGTCGATTTTAGTCAAGAAACATTGTTGTATAGCTTAATTAAAATCTTGACCTTGAGAGGGAGCTATACAACATAAAGAGTTTATTATTGAATATTTCATAACTTTAGACTCGATTTCAACCTCGACAATTATCACTGAATACTTAATAATCGCATATGCTTCCAATATATTCATTTGAACCAAATTCATGACCCCATACCAAAACTTTGTAATACCTTTAACAACAAGGAAAGACTATTGTCACAAATATTGTGCAAAGTCTCCTTGAGCCTCTCTTTGCTATTAATGAGAGTGTACAATATTACTCATCAAAAACATAAATTTGCCCGTTTCACTTTGCATTCATATCATCATTAAATTTTGATCATTGACAGATGTAACCTATGGCTAGTATGTCTACGGTGAAACCTACTGACATGCAAGAGAAAACAAAAGTTGAAGCCAAAACAAACAAAAAAGAGTTTGTTGTAACAGTGATCTGTATAGTAAAACAAACAAGCTTTCACAGTACTTTGGTTTGTGTTGGTTTTAATTCTGTTTGTTTGCTTTTTACTACCGGTATTTGTTTGCTTGATTCATTTATTTATATGCATTTATGTTTGTTGATCTGCTGTTATTGTCATGGAAAATTACTGAACGTTTTAAATGTACTACACCAAACCCCGAACTTGAACTCCCTCATTGTATGTTGCATGTCACTGTTGGAGACTTCAAGATAATCACTATCAGTCGTGACCCTATCCTGCACATGGTACATTCTCATGAGGAGATACTATGTAACAGAAGAGATTTGATAAATTTTTACAGTTCCTACAGTATACTTTTCAAACATGTACAATGTAGCACCTAAATGAAACTGCATACATACTTTGTACTACATCTGTTCTTGTGCATTTGATATAGACCTTTAAAGGGAAATCCAACCCTTGTAATAAGTTAATTTGTATTAAAGTAGACAAATAAGTTAAACAGAATGGAGAAATTTTGAAATAAATTGGATGAATTAAGAAAGTTATGAATGTTCAAAACATGACATCCCTTTCTATGCAAATCGCAAATTGGCAGTTTGGTCTATGACTCTGTGGATTGTTACGTACCGTAGTTGCAAATTACCCTCTAGTTTTTTGTGTACAGAAATTATTAATTTCTGGTATTCTCCTACATGTATGTGCCTTCTCCCTTGGGGCACTACTCAATTATAGTATGGAATAGCCATTATTACAGGTTCTCTAAAAAGTAAACCCTCCCGAGTCCTGAATCATACATTTAACAAAATTGACATATCAATCACTTCACTTGTGTGTTGAAATAAATGGGAAAGTAGTGTGGCACTTCCACACAGTGACTTTAGAAATTCAGCCAATTTAAAGTGCCCATATAAACATGTACACTGTAAATAGTGATCACAATTTTCAAAAATTCATCTCATTTTTTAAAGATTTTATTCAAACTTTCACCAGTCTCCTTCTCTGACTGTGCTGCTTTCTTTTGGAGTAGTTCTTCTTCTTCTTCGCTATAAGTAGGCCTATATGTACAGGCCACCGCTGGGTGTTTTCTATTACTGATGTAGGTGATGTGCAGGTGTATATAGTGACTCAATAAAAGGCCTACAAAGAACTGTGCAGCTAAAAAGAATAGTTTAACGAAGCTGGATCTCAACTTCTCAAGTACCTCTCTCTAAATTAAGCTGTCTGTAAGGTTGGATGTCACTTTAACCCTCTAGGGCAGGTCCAAGCTATTTGGATTGTGATGTACGGGACATTTAGAGACTTTAAACAAGAAATAACAACAGATGAAATTATTTATATGGCTATCTTTTGGTACGAGTCTGTGGCTATTATGAGCTAGTTCATTTGTGGAAAGTTTTATTTCTGACCAACTCTTTAATTAATTTTTAATGTAATTAATGTGCTGCGTGACGTACAGGACGCTGCAAACCGTACGTCACGCAGCACATTAATTACATTATGAATTAAATAAAGAGTTGGTCAGAACTAAAACTTTCCACAAATGAACTAGCTCATAATAGCCACAGACTCATACCAAAAGATAGCCATATAAATAATTTCATCTGTTGTTATTTCTTGTTTAAAGTCTCTAAATTTCCCGTACATCACAATCCAAATAGCTTGGACCTGCCCTCTACTGGAATGAAGCTGAAATAGACATGTACATGTATTACGGAAATCAACAGACGGACAGGAATTTTAGATTTGGCTCTTGGCCGAGATTGGCAAAAATTGTGTAAAGTACAGCATGAACCTGTGCTCTACTTAGTTTGTAACTGCCAGTGAATCTAATGCCTACATGTAGGTCACAAATACACCGCTCCCCATACAATCTTCCCTACCCGGCGGATTGCCATGGATTTTAGAGACCGTACAGGACTAAAATTGAACTGGTGCACCCCATGGCTCCCGGGGTTGTCAAGGCGCCTGGCTTGGTGCCGTGCGGTGCACTGAACTATGTGTCCTCTAAAATCTGCGCCTCCTGTATTTAAAGCTGCGTTGTACATCGAGAATTGACAGAAAAAATTGTGAGGAGCCCGTTGACAGCCCGCAAGGTACAGGCTTTCTACAGCCTAACTGTCATATGCAAACAAAGGGAGAATTGGGAGCAGCCAACTCAATTACACTATGGTGCCTGTGTGCGTACAGCTGGTGAAAAATGACCCGGGCCCGGCACCGGTTAAAAATTACCCCAAATGTCCGTTTTTACTGTACGGGCCCCAAAGTGCATATATATGTGAAAGCCCCTAGTTGAGGACACTCATTAATCAGGCTACAATTACAACGATTTGAGAAGAGAAAGGCTTCAATAAAGTGAGCCCAAATCAGATCGATGTCTTGGGGTTTCTTACAAACGTTACGAATTGTATTTAACTTACAAGCAAGCTAAACAAAGCATTACTAGAATGGAGAGAATATGCTTAAGAAATTTTTGGTGCTTGAATACATTTTTTTAAATTTTACATATCAAATTTTGTCTTACGACCAACGAACGAGTATTACTATTAGGAAAGAAGTCATATAGCCTAGCCGATCATTTAACAGATAAGAACACGTTTGAATTATACACAGTAAATTTTGGATCATAACGATTATTTCTGGAAATTCTAGTATAATTGCATTTCTGATAGTCAACATCTCACCGGCAGAAAGTTGGCCGTGTGTTCCCGTTCATAGTTGAAGAGAGGTCCGCTAAAGCTAACTGACAATCCTAGAATAGGAATGCAGGTCAAATAAAAACAAAAAGACAAAAACAAATACACATGAATTTAACTCTTGATGAATGTTGTCATATACTTACGATTTTCAGCTGTGTTTTATTTTATTCTTAGCTTCAAGCGAATATGTCGATGATCGTTTGGAATAAACAATGAAGTTGAATGAACCAATAAAACTCGAGTCTTTCAACCGCCGTACAGCAACACATTCCAGTATATCGTACCCCTTGTGTACAGTCGCACGGTGTCGCCTCCGCTCCGGCTTCGCTGAAGCTAGCTTGTATGAGCCGTTATGAGTGACGTTTGGCGACACACACCACCGATTCGTGAAAACCGGAAGTGGTGTGTGGGGGGCTTTGTTTATTGGACATTCCATTGCGGAGTAGGGAAGATTATATCGGATAACTCATTTTCTGTTTTTTAATAGAACCTCGTTGTGAATTGAATTAGGAAAGACCGATCAAATTATGCAAGATTTCTGTGATTGTTTCTATCAGAGGAGATAAATAGCGCGCATTTGAATGGTTGGTAAACAGGACGTCAATTGTGATATTCCCTCTTCAAAATGGTTCAATCGATGACTACCAATATTTTCCGGGAAGACCATTTTAATGGGAACGTTCTACCCAATTTGACTTCTCGATGAACCCTAAGCAATATATCATGTCGGAATGAATATATAGTTGAATATTACTACATAGTAGCTAGAAGTTATGGATCTCAAAGCAGTGTTTTCTGCTCAATGTCAGTATAAAACAAAATCATGATTTAATAGCGTCCCCGCCCGCTTCCTTTTTGGGGGCCGCCTCCCCCCCCCCTTTTTTTTTTTAAATGAAAAAACATGAAAAACATACTGCTAAAAAAATTCCGATTTACAAAAAAAAAAAAAAATGCCGGCGTTGATCTTGAAAAATAGCCCGACTATCAGGGAAAATGTACCGAGCTGCTACTTTGGAAAGAAAAAAAAAAAGGCCTAGCTCCTCCTTCCTATATATGCAGGACGCTAACATGTTTTTTTTTCTTCAAATGGCCTAAAGAGAGAAGCAATTGACATTTGTTCCTTATATTTTTTCTCTGAATAAATGAATTTATACTTGAACTTTTTGTTATGTTACAAGAACATTAGCTCCCCATTGGATGAGATACAATTCTCCCGGCCCTATATGTATTTGAAAAAGTTATTTTCTCCCTGCTTGTCATTTCTTTTTTCATTTTTCAATAATTCTATGTCTGTTATATAATCCTGTTTAATTTGTTTCTGTATACAATTTGTATTCATTGTAGACCTTAAAAAAGATGATTTAAAACAAAAAATGTTTACAGCCTTGACGCTGATATTAAACCATCTTTTATTTTCCTCTCCGTTTTCCTCTTGTGTTAAAGGTTTCTCCTCAACCCCATCGAACCGAAAACCAGTGTCGCGTTACGCCTCTACACCATCGCAAAATACTTCCCAGTCACCATCAACAGCGCCCTCACAGGCCAAGGTGAAGACAGAGCCTGAAGCCGCGTTTGACGAGATGGATATATCCTTCGAGGAGGCAGAGGCTCTAGAAAAGGCTCTCCAAGAAGCAACTACTGCTTGATAAAGAACTAGCCGCTGCCAGCATCACCTTGTGTTTCATTTCTTTACTTTTTATAATTTCATAATATAGTGTTTCTTTTCTTTTTTTCTTTGCTAAAAACCAGAAACTTTTGCAAAGTACATCAAAGAATCGTTAATGTTTACAAGGATAACCAAAAGACCATTTTTTGTAATGTAGCCAAATTTGTACTTACCGTATGTATGCCTCGATACAAATTATTTCATTTACACGACTGTTACAAATAATTGTATTTCAATAGTCAGAATGTAAATAGCATATCTTACTTGTTGTTAGGTAGGGCAAGCCATACTTTTCTTTTTTTTTTCTTTTTTTATCCTTCCTAGCGATCTGTATGCAATTTGAATTCTGACTACATATTGAGATATACAGGTGAATGCAATCATTTCGTTACATTGCGAAAATGCCCTATTTCACAGCAAGCCGACTCTTGCACTGAAAGCACAAAAGGTAGTGTTGTGTAAAGTGTCCATGACATGAAACTTTTGTGAATCTGAAGTGGTCGTAATATAAGCAAATATTCATGCACCCGTATTTTTCTGGTTTAACTATAGTACATTATATACCTCTTACTGTTTATCAAGTTTTGCCCATATTTTCTTATGGATCAATATGTAAGAAAGTCAGGTCAGGTCGATAAATGATTTTACCTATTCCAGTATATCCTTTGACCATAATTATAGACATTTTCAGGATGATTATATATTCACTTAGTTGCATGACGAATATTAGTTGCTGGTATTCCAATTATGTTTAACAAGAAATGATCAAATTGTTGTTAATCTATTCCCTATGTGGGGGAAAGAGTTGTTCATGTTTAAAGCCAAGTAGGTTTACACCCATTTTCAACAATATGAGTTATAAAATCTGCCCAACAATTGTTTTGTACAGAATAAAATACATGCACTATGAAAATATTGTTCAATATAGAAATTAAAGTTTGGGGAATTTGGACAGAAACTGTTGAAGCTATTCTGAATCCATGTGGTTAACTAAAGTATAAAGGTATAAAGGTATAAAATGGTGAAACTTGATTAAAAGCAGACAGCACATGTATCTAGAAGGTTACATGAACATAAAAGATGATTTATTCTTGTTGGTTTTATCAAGCCTCTTATTTCCCTCGTGTCTACCGGTAGTTAATTTTGTCAATTACCCAGTAAATTACAAATTGTCTGTCCATTTCATTTGGCAGGTATTATTTATTTTTATACCTATTGACATTTGATGAAAGTTATTTGGATATGTTTGAACTCATATTTTTTTCTGCTCATCTCCAGAATTCAAGATTACATGTAATGTTACATAATTATATAAAAAAGGCCGGTGACCAAAAGGCTGTATTTCTTATGATGAGAATACATTTGTAAGATATTTTCTAGCTTACAACAAAATAATATCCCTTATACAAAAATGTAAGATCATACTAATCAGACAGCATGTGTAAATATATAAACAGTTCTAATGATCGGGGGGGGGGGGGCAGATTCTAGAGTTTTGTCATCTCTAAAATCTATGTGATTACAGGAAACCTCCTCCAAAGAAATAACTTGAGATATTCTGCAAGATTTATTCTTTCCCATTAATTCATGGATGCTTCCTTCCCACGTGTGTGTGGTGATGAAGTATTTAATTCACCTGCTATTATCTATTGTGCTACAATTGTCAAAACAAAAATTATATAAATCAATTTTTGCTCTTCTGGGGTGAAGGTTGTAAAGAATATTGTACATCAATAGGCAGGAATAAATATTATCTCTCAGCATACCTACACTTATTCTTTGAGGTGACTGGTTTTCTCTGCTAAGGCCTGATAACTTTGTACATTAACACATGTAAATACATGTATATGACACATGTAATCAATAATGTAATGACATAATAAAGATGAAAACTGATAACCCCTATAAGCTCACTCAAAGTGAAGCGCTCTCATTAACTGTGTCCTGCTTTATTCTGCATATCATGTATAGTATTTCAACCAGCAAGTAAAAAAAACCATTAACTACATGAAGGTTTCTATTTTGAGTGCCTCTTTAAAGGTACTATGTCCCATTTGCAGGCCAAAAAAATGAAAAAGTGGGAAAATAATGACTATTAGTTGTAAAATCGACTTTAGGGCTATAGAGCCCAAAAGTAATAGTCTTGATTTTCAGACAATTGTACCAATGGTCATACATTTTATGCCGCGCAAAGATTCAATCAGTTTAATCTTGGCCATCACAAGAAGTGGGTTATTGATGTAGACAAATGCTCATGTACCCTTTACAGCTCTTTTCATGTATGTTATTAGGCGAGGCGTCAAAAATATCGATACCAGCAGGCTGCCGCCTCACGTATTGGCGCATCGAGGCTGCAATTACGGCCGAAGCCTGGCTGGGGCAATTATTTTTCTTTTATTAGCCCAGCCGGCTTGCGCCAGGCTGGGATCTGAGGCTCGGTTTCCATTCGAAAGGCGGCAGCCGGCGCATGCTTTTGAATGCCATTTCCTACCGCCAGCGGTAGCCGGCTGAGCTAATTTAAAAAATGCAGCCAGGACGCACAAGTGCAGTTAGCTGCCGCTGGCTGGTATATTTATTTTTGACGCCTCGCCTTACCAAAGGAGAAAAAAGGCCAGTCAGTCACTCAATAGTGTCTGACAGTGAAGTCTAGCAAGTAAACAGGTTTCCTTGCATAATTTGAATATGAGGACACTGCTAACGTTTAAATTTCACAGATAGGACATACATGACATATTCATAATTCCTGCAAAGTTCTACAGAATTTGAGGTTGGCTGCAAAAGGGACATAGTACCTTTAAGGAAGTTATGGGTCAAATTAATATAGCCTCTGTGCCACATACTAAATGAAGATATTAAATAGGATACATTTAGAGCGGAAGATGGTATCGATTTCAGGAACTGTTCAGGAATGGAGCATATGGTACCATGAAGGTAATGTCACATGTCTTTGAAGATGTCATAAGACATGTATAGAGGGAGCTATATAGCTCTAGTCTGCTATCAGACTTTTATGGTTGTTATTTCTCAGGACTTCAAAATTATTATGCAGTTTTAAGTTACCGATATAGTGGGGAAATAATACAACACTGACAAACATTTTTTTAAACACTGTACAGAATATATCAATCTTTGATTTCAGTAAATATATATTTTACTGTCCATCTTGGACAATTAATAAAGAATGAACAAGAAATGCACCAAGAATTATAAAAACTAAGGAAATTTGACTTTCCACTTTTACATACTTCTGAGCATGAATTGATGAACAATTGATAAAAGACTTTGACAAATGGAAATGCTGTTATATATTACACATGTACCTTTTTCTTCTTTTTTTTTGCATGTAGTGGTGCAATAAGCCATTATGAATTTTAAAGCAGCGTGCATGTTTATGGACTACACTCTCTACAGTGATTACTGCAATATGTTGACGATAATTCCAAGCCTAAGCAAAATACTACCGGTAAACGGTACATGTATTTGTCCATTAAATCTGGTCTCCCGTTTATTCTCTTCAGAAGTGAAATGATTTCATATTCAGATCAGACAAAATTTGTTAAGGAAATAGCCTTGTGAATGGCAAATATCAATTATCAATATTTACTCTTGTCGCGCATTGATGAACATGGAATGTTGGATAAACACTTCCTTGACTTAAAGGTAAAATACAGGATATTTTACCGACACCACTGACTACTGCAATTTATTTTCAATTGGGCTATCATTTTTGTCCAAATTACCATCCACCATAGTGTCAAACAAAGATAAACATAGGGTCATCAAACAATGAAATTTCAATGTTTGTTACCATGGTGAATGGTAATTTGGACAAAAAGACCATGGTAACCATGGTTCTTTTTTTTACAAGGGAAATTGGTAAAGGCATACATAGAGCCATTTCCAGTTCCTGTACCCAAGCATCATCATCCACACTAACAGTTGGTGATGCATCGAGGGACATGGTTGTCAGCACACTCAGGACATTGCGAGCAACAGAGGGCAGTATACCTAAATTTGAATAGTGTCAATAGAATACCCTGCCTCTAACTAAACTATAATTCCCAAATTCACAGCACTGTTTAATACAGTACCGTTATCAAAGCTGAAGAGTAAAATTTCACCAATAAAACGAGTTTGCGTCTTTCAGCTCAACACACAATCCATATGTATTTGTATTTGTATAGCCAACATTTAATGTGTATGCATAATATAACTTTCATAACAATGCTTGAAGGAATTAAAGTTGGTATTTCGCTTTCACTTCATGAACAATTTTACTGAATTTCATACTCGTAACCTTGCTTCGAACAAGTATTCCGTAACTGATTTTGACATAACATGAAGCTGACTATAAGGGCGACAGTGATGTTTTCTATTGTACAGTAATATTAGTTACTGCAGCACGAGACTTCAACTGAGTAACACCTACCTACTTTGTTCTGTGTTGGATTGGACCCAAGTACTAGCTAAACATAGCTCAGAGATGCCAACCAGTATGATTAAATCGTATTTAGTAAGATAATAAGAGTGAAATACGATAATACGATATCACCTCTTAAAATATGATTTTTCAACAACAACAACAAAAAAACAAAACAAAAAATTATATTTTTAAAACCCATAAAAACAGCGGAATCGCATAGAAACATATACAAGTGAACCCCCGCAACCCCCAAATACACTTTGCTGTACAACTTTCTCATTAAATTTTAATTTAAGACCAAACATTTTACTTGACCCTAGGTCTACCAGTAAAACTTTTTTTTTAAATTTTACTGGCCCGGTGGTAGTGTTGAGTTTTCGTGAAAATCTGATTTTTCTCTCCAAAATCTGATTTTTTAGGATACTCAGTCTGTTTTTTTTTTGTGTCAAGAGGTTAGCAGCGGTGGGATGCAAACCCATGCCATCGAAATGCAGCCCTTACTGGTGCTCAAAGCTCAGGGAGGGTGGTTCTTCATTCTCATACGGACAAAGAATCTTATACATTTTGACAAGATATACATAGGCCAGTATATATGAAAGATAAAATCAATTTGTTAATTCAATTTACAACATGTACAAAACAAAAGAAAGTGGCAACAAAACTAAGCTTTAGGAAGCATTGTTGATTAGAACAGGCGATGTTTGACAGAGGTTGTATGAGATATTTACACCTGCAACAATCACATTTTTATTTTTGAAGGCTAAGAACATCTGTAAACTGTACAGTATTCATCAGATATAGGTGGTGCTTATTATCAATGCTGACCTGTTACAGACTTTTTTTTTTTTGGGGGGGGGGTCTAGACCTCAATTTTGGGCCCACGTGTCCCAGGCACCCACCATTGTCGAGCCCTGCAAAAACACATAGGGATACTAAAAATTTGGGCCTATTAAAGATAAAGTTGAGTTCTGGTCGTGCCATTGCATTGTGAAAGAAATAGTGTGAAGTCGATCAGAAAAGGTTGATCATCTAGCATATAAGTATTGGTGTGTACTGCAATGTTCTGGAATCATCAATATGATAAGAAATTTTGCCCAGTTTTGGTCAAGTTACAAGCACTGTACACAGAAAGATGTACTGGTATATGGGACTACACTAACATGTGGCCTAAAAATCTGTCCCAATTTTTATGCTGTTACATGCCATATTTAGAATATTTAGGCATTTGAAGAGCCATGCTTTTCAGGGAACATTTTGTATCCGATGTTCTTCCACAATTGCATAAGAACAATGATAACACTCACAAATTATTTTTCACCTCTTCCCAGAACTCAACTTTCTCTTTAAATACCTCTGCCTTCACCAGAATATAGTAATACAAAGAACTTATAGTTGCAAATTTGATTTATTATTTCAAGCTGCTGCTTGTTATTAGCTGCACAATAGTATGTCATTACCTGTACATGTATATAATTAATTCCCTCCACATCATGATAATTATAGATCCTACTACAACTTTAATATGGAAAGTTCTCCATAATGTTATTCTAAATAAATAATATATATTTGTGGCTACATTCCTATAGACAAAAAGTGAGAAAAAGAAAATCAGACGTTTATTATACATTGCAATTATTCTCAGTAGCTCAATCAGTACGGCTGATGTCCCATTACCCTTTGTACAGACCACATGTCTTTGTAAAGTACATGGGGACCACAAGTCTGTATTTCATAATGTGGTCTGGTAATCGAGATTTAAGCCTCATTACCAAGGCCCTCAGAGAGGACCTAAAACTGTTGGTGCCCTGGTTGCTTACTTACAAGCATACACATGCTTTCTATAAGGCCTAAAATAAAAAGTTGTTGTATTGCCCTTTGCGACCGACCCAAAATTCTGAAAATCTACGGTCGGCATTTTAAAAAAGTTTCTTTTTAATACCGTTTCTTAGAATTTTTTTGTATTAATGAATAACAAAATATGTATTTTGTTTGACTTAAAAATCAAATTATTCCAAACAATCTTCACATTGCTAGCAAGTTTTACAGGTAGTTGAAAACCAACTTCGTCAGCAGGAAAGCACAGAGTGTTGTCTCAACACAACATTGTAAACCATGGATTATTATGAGGTGAAAAGATGTGAATGGAATGATGACTTTGAAACACATGTATTAAAGCATTAAAAACTGAGAAATATCAGCCAAAAGAGGGCGGGGAAAAAAAAGGTAAAAAAAATAAAAACTGAAAAATATCGGCGCAAAGAGGGCGACAAAAAAAAGTTATAAAAAAAAAAAAAAAAAAATCTGACCGACCGACCGACCCATGTTTTAGCACCTAAAGGGCAACACAAAAAGTTTTTATTTTAGGCCTAATAGCAGACAGGTAAAACAAACAGACCAACCAACCAACTAAACCAATAATAGTAATATCAATACTTTTCATGACATCCGGTTTTAAAGACTATCACATCCAATCTCCAAAAATTCTCCTTTAGTGAAAGCCAAGCACTATGGTCTCAAAGATTACAATTATCAAATATATTTCTTTTCTTGGCACATACAGAGACAGTGCCACAAATTACTGTCCAAGTCCAAGCAATTTTGTCCTATATGTTAGTAATTTTATCTAATTTAGTATACATGTATGATACGATCATTATATTAGGTAGTAGCGATTCTCAGAGCTTAGTCGCACATAGTATGAAGTGAAATGTCCAATGTGCAGAACTACATAATATTTGGTATCGAATAAGACATCAAATAACCAAATACATACCGGTATGTACTTTGAAATTACCCTACAAAATAAATATCTGATTAATCTGGAAAATAACAAGTAATGGAACATAGAGGGACGCTAAGCATAAGGTACATGTAGTTTGAGTAGACATATATGTAATCAGTGCAGTGCTCTCGATCTCTTCACATAGCTGGTAAAGACAATTTTTGATGTACAGGGAATACAAGTCATGTAGCATAGCTAGTTGGTTCAGAGATGGTTCTGACATCGGTAGCTATCTCTAAGGGGTCAGTCATTCCATGGAGCTCCAAATAGTTCCTTCCTATAGACATTGGACCTGGGAGGGAACTCCATGATTTAACCTGCAAATGCACCTGCATACACGATTATATGCATGGCACAGCTATCTCTTTCAAAATGCTATGACAAGTACCTTAGGGTGATATGCTCTCAAAGCTTTCCTTACTTGCCTGTAGAGATATAATGATTTTTCGTTTCCATTTCGTAGTGCGATTATCACGTGAAATTATGTCCTCAAAGTGAGTCCACACGAATCAGTACATGATATTTACCCTAGCTTTAGCTCCAGCGCAAAATAATTTGTTTAGACTGGTCTGCTTATTCTACATGTAGCATTTATAGATATATAATTCATATAGACCATTGTTCAGAGCCAAAGGGGGTTATCCATGTGTTAAAGTTAATGGGTGGTATTCTCGAAAGCGGACTAACTTTAGTCCATGGTTTAACCCACTGACTAAGTAGGGAATGCCAAAGTGTCAATATGAATATATTTTGAATAATTTGCTATGTCCCTAAATAACTATGATAACATAATTATATCATAGTTATATATTGTTGTATATTAATTATGTAATTACATTTTATTTTAATTTAGTGACAGATTAAATTATTCAAAAACATATTCATATGGACACTTGGTATTCCATACTTAGTCGGTGGATTTAACCATGGACTAAAGTTAGTCCGCTTTCGAGAATACCACCCAATGGGTTAATGCCGTTCTGGCTCCAAGCATACGAGATGTCACTCATGAAAATCTTGGCAGAGTAATCAATCTCGGGTTTCCGAATCGTCCAGATGATCATTGTCCATTGCTTGTGAATTAAGCTTGACCGGCAAAACACTTTGCGAGATTTCCTTTGGTCACTCCCAGCTCTCCCAATCCTCGTCCAAATCATCATCGCCCACTGCTCCCGAGGAAAGCTTGACCGAAGCGTTCTTGAGGTCTTCCTCCGTCACCTCGATGTCGTCAAAGTCCTTCTCCCAGTCGTCACTTAGACTCGATTCTGCAAGGAAAGGGATCCATTGAATATGCACATTAAAATTCAATTCAATTCAATTCAAAATGGTTTATTTCAAATAAAACTTTCATCGCAGCGTTTAGCCGAATTACAAAAGTTTACAAACAAAAATTAATAACACATAATGTAGTATAGTTACAAAGCATAACATGATATATTGAATTTGTAAAATAAATGAGTATAAATACGAGAAATATAGCTTACTGCAACATATGGAAACATAAAATAGAAAGAAATCTAAATTAAATAGCATTAAATAGCACTAAAAGCAGAAATGCAAGGCAATGCAGACAAGCTCTAAATACAGGAAATATTTATACTGGCACGAAAGTTCCATTGGGCAAGGGATAGCAATGCATTCTTACATGTACTCTTGTTAAAAATGGCCTCATGTGACTATTGATATTGACTAGCGAACATTTGCTTGCGTGAGGCTGTAAATGCAATATCTGCTCCCTGGTCCCCTTCGCACAATACAAATGTCTGAATGGTTATAGCTGATAGCTGAGTTGTAAAAACATAAACCACAAGTACATCAATTTTTGGCGCTATGATTTCTTTTTGTTTCTTCTGTTCATGTAAGGTGTATTTGTTCTGTCTTGTTTCACCTCATTAACTTGAATTGTGACCTAAAAGAAAAGCTCTTTTTGCAAACACTTGACCTAAGCTCAGTTCAAATCCCGTAACTGATTCACGAGAAATGAAGTAGCTATTTTGTGAGAACAAAAATGTCCATCAGTGTAACATGTCAAAGACGTTTTAGCTTGCTGAAAGAGAAAACACTATACAGAAATGATATAAATTGAACTAATTGCTTGATTATGTGTAAAGAGATATACAATTTTCACCTCTATTGCTTGCTTCCGATGCGACTGGTGATGTCTGTTCCATAGCCTTTGCCGTCTCTGCCTTACTGTCATCCTGTTTACCCTCTGTCTGAATGGTCAATCCTTCAAGCCGGAGTTCATCAACTTTAACCTTCGACCCCTCTTCCTCCACCCCAACTGTCCTTTGCAAGTGTGCTGCGGTTGAGGGCGCTTCAGGTATAGATTCATCTGGCGTGGAAGACACTTGGTGTGTTTGGATGGGCGCAGCAGGTTCCGATTCCTTTTCAACGACAGGACTAGGACTAGATTCAAGTACACTTGTTTGGCTGGCTGGTTCGGGTTCTGGTCTACTCGGGTCCTGGTCCACTTTCGTTACACTGTCACATTCAGGTACAGGGTCCGTAGGTTTATCGTCTTCACATTCTTTTGATTTCCGTTTATCAACAGGTGACGACGACAAATGAGATGGTTGTCGTTCGCTCGAGTCCGTTTCAGCGATCCTTGACATTGGTGATTCTGTTTGTTGGTCCGTGTTTGATTCCGTTGGTTGGTCCGTACGTGATTCTGTTTGATGTTCAGTAGAGGAGGCCCCTGACGATTCCTTGTCGGTGTCTTCAGGTAGGACAACAAATTTCTCTACTCCAGATTGGTTCTTCAAGGCATCAGGTACAGTGTCCCATGTGTCATCTGTGAAAAGGAATAATAATATGTTGTTAAATATGTATTGGTCATTGCTGTCTTTCTTTTGTTTTGAGGCTTGTTTTTAAAGCATACTTAAGCATACTACTATTCTCTTTTAGCACACAGATAAGTGGATAACACAAATAAATAAGTATTAAAGTAAATGTAAACATGGTTTAACAGCCTGCCCTTAACTGTCCTCTATAAAATGCTATGCATAAGCATCAACTGAAATTGATGCTGATGGTAGAAATGACTCTACTTACGATGAATGACATTTAAAAAAAACATTCACATACTAGAAACAAGAGAATTCCCATAATTGTTACTAAATGGAATTCTTTCAGCAGACACTTCTACAAACAGTCCCTATACACATACATGTACTACAAAATTTGATTGTTGTAATTTTGCAACACAGAAGCTCTCACGAATCTGGAACTCTCCAGAAATTATCAACATTCTATGGTTTTTACAAACATAAATCAGACCTTCGTCACCCCATCCGAGATCTTCCTCTTCAAATTTCTGTGATGATGTCATGTCCGCTCTTTCCTTCAGGGCTCTCCGCCGGTTTTCATCCTCCCTCAGCTGCTGCACCCGGTAGAAATATCGGCCCCAGAACTCGACATGAGATACAGCTGCCGGTACCTTGTTAATGAAATAGAAAAATGAAATACATTGAGGGGTCAATTCCATATTTTGCCAAAATGAGTATTTGATATCAAAATGTTCAGAAAAATGTGGGCTTCCAGGAAACACAAAGACTTAACTCCACCCAACACCCCGTTGAAGTCAATGGCTAGTGTAACGTAGACTTAACTTCTTAAGGCCCAAGTGCTCAGTGACACATAAACCACTTTTTCTCAAAATGGCCAAAATGGAGTTGCGTCTTTATGTCACTGACCCCTCGTAATTTACTCTTCTGATACATGTAAGCTGATAAATACCCATTTCACAAAAGGTAGCTCCTATTATATGCACTAAGATAATATGAATCGAAGAATTATATTTGTGTTCACAAACTTTGAAGAGCCTGATGATACACGTAGGAGAACTAATTTTACAAGTGTAATTACCCAATGAAATATGCTGTTTTTTAAGTCCTTCCCATTTTGATGTAGAATATTACTCTACTTATCCAATGTAACACCTTGCCCTATAGTCCTACTAGTTTGGTGTTGAGAACTCTTCACTAGATATTAATGTCAAACCAAATGTAACAGCCTGTAACAGAGCATCTACAAATTTGATATATGGAGTACCGGTACAGTAAACTAGGTGCTAGTATAACGCTTTGTGTCTCAGTTATTGACAGTGAGGTGTAGAGTGGTAAGAGTACTCTATAATAGGTACTAACTAATCACCAAATTCAAACCTGTGTGACAGTTTTAACCTTTCCGGTGCTCAGTAATTTACACGATGCACTATGTATCACATTACAGTCCAATTGCCAGTTTGGTATATACTTCTCGACTCTACCTTGTCCTCGTTGCACAAAACTTACTATTGATAGTAACTTTGCCATCAATGGCAACTACCATGGAAACCTTGATTTTGATTGGTTGTTGAGCCCTGTTACCATGGTAGTTGCCATTGATGGCAAAGTTACCATCAATGGTATTAGTATTATGCAACCGGCCCAGGAACACCAAATTTAACACCTTATACAAAGTCCTTACCAGTTTGGTGTAGAGTGCTCTCACATCGGTGTTTACTACCAACAGTTCTGATATCTCTCCCTTGAAATTTTCCACATTGAAGGACTCCATCCACTCTTTGAATTCTGGAACACCGTCTGGATCACTGCAGTAGGTGGTAGGGTCTGTCTGCATTGCGTGAAGACGTGCCTAAAGTGAATGAAACTCCAGTCAATTAGTATTCAAATTGATCCGTCACAAAACAAGCTTTCTATGAAGCAGCCCCATTCATTTTTTTGTTTCAAAAATCTTTTAATGAAATGAAACGCTCTTTAAAAATGGGCTGCATTTATGATGTATGCGTATCCATCCCAGGGCATGCGTAAGGAACCTACAAAGGACTATTAGTACCTTCATCATTATCATCATCATCATCAGCAAATTCCCTCTTACGAGGGGTTACTGGCTTTTGCACCTTTATAACACTCCCTTGCCTCACTTCTTCTAATCTTGAGCATTCTCATCATTTAGACAACCCTACTGCTTTCGTTTCATGAAATTGTCAGTCTTCCCCTTATGCTATCCACTTCCAGATCCCATGCTCTTTTCACGGGTTCATACATACATACATACATACAATTGTCTTTTATATAGCGCAACATCCAACGAATTGCTCGAAGCGCTTTACAGGAATAATGACATAGTAAACACAAGATAATACATGTATAAAAGAGTAATTATAATAACAAACAAAAATATTAGAATTACAATTTACTTATTGTTATTGTACATGTTCAGCCACTGAAAGTTTTCAAGGAATAACTTCCTTCATGTACCTGCATAGAGGGGAAAGTAAATTGTCTAGTCAAAGGATATTAGTGCCTCAGACTTGAAAAGCAAACCACTTAATCCAAATACCCACAAGACCATGACAACTCTATTCCCCCCCCCCCCCCACCTTGTGTTTAGCTCAGGGCTAAGCAGATGCCAGGGGTGTTTCACAAAGATCCTAAGTCAAACTTAACTCTGAGTTGGACTTAAACATTATGGAGAGTCATTTGTAGCCTTAAAATCAAATATATTCAAAAGCAAAAATCCAAGTATTTTAGACTTTTCATAAATTCTACATCAAGTAGATCTACATGAAATCTCCCATGATAATAGAACATATGAATGATTTGAATCAACATTTTATGCCTTTTAAAATAACTTTTACAAAATATTTTCAAAGATGCTAATGGCTTTCCATAATATTTAAGTCCAACTTAGAGATAAATGTACATGTAAGTTCAACTAAGGATCTTTCTGAAACTTACCCATACTAAGAAGCCTGTCTGTACTTACTCTGGCTTTATCAAAGATGTGAGGATCCTTCCGACCCATGGGTACGTCATCGTCCCTTGAAGAGGCGTTGCCTTCTGTTGGAGTGAGACTCTGAGAGAGACCCGTCAAGAGCTTGGAGAAACCAACCTTCATCCGAGCCGTTGTCGTCACGTCCTCATTCTCTTCATCCTCTCCTTCTTGAACCTGGTGTATGAATGAAATCAAACATTAAAGGCATTGTTTAACAATGTTAAATTCATTTATTTATTTATTTCTAATCTTTTGACAGGGTAGCCCATTCACCAATAAGTAGCGGTCTTCCATGGGGCCCTGAATGAACATGAACATATTTACACCAAAAAGCATAACGTTTATACAGAACAGTTAAAAAATGATACTCGTTTGCATAGCGGCCTTCTTAAATCTGAGATGCATGGCCCTACATGTTATCAGTGTCTGTGAAATGGTGTAATATTGAAGCCCTAAAAAAATTGAGCTTCAAAATGATCATGAAGTGCCTCAAAAAAGTGAAAATCTTTGAGTGACTTGTTTTACCATACTTATTTTTCCCCAACAGACTGTAGTGTTATAAAACCTGTTGGGAAAATGAAAAATGACATTTTGATTTCCAATCATAAATATCTTGATAATCAGAGAGGCGATCAGCTTGTAATCGTCATGGGATTCCTGACTGACCTAAAGGTTTATAATTATGATTCCCACATGATCTAAATCCAGGAGTTTGTTTCAGAATCTAAAACAATGTTACCTAATCCCTTTAAGGTTTTAACAGATATGGCATGGTTAACCAACGCCTACAAACAAGCCGCCTTCGGTTTTCAAGCACTGCACTCTGTTATGTCACAAGGAGCCAGGTAATGAACTAGACAATTCTTGTCCATCATTCGGTTCAGTAATGTACTCGGCATCACAAATCATTTGTACTACATGAGCAAAACCCTGAAGCACATGCTAATAAAAACCATGAATAGTGAACAGGTATTGTACAGAAGATTTAAAACAACAAACTCTTCATTAGTGAAAACTACATGTACGTTAAACTTGCAAAGGTACCTATAAATTCTTTTCATCATAATCTGCAAAAGCATACAGAGAGAGAGGAGGGAAGAGAGAGAGAGGGGGGAGAGAGGGGAGAGAGAGAGGGGGGGAGAGAGAGAGTGGGGTGAGGAGAGAAAGAGAGGGGTGAGGGGAGAGAGAGAGAGAGAGGAGAGGAGGAGACACACACACAAAGATACAGATAATGGGAGGGAAGCGACAGACAGGCAGGCAGATATACCGGTAAAGGGGAGAGGGGAGGGTAAAATAATTAAAAATATAAATGAACCTTGAGCTGATCCCTGATGAGTGTAGCGGTTGATGCAGCTGCTTGGGCAGTGTCCCTCTGTATGGTAGTTCCAAATTCACCCAGATCCCTTCTCATCTGAACCCAAGCACTGCCGGACTATGGGAGGAAAAATATGAGTAACTGAGTATATTGTAAGTACATGTTCCTACAGTATTGCCTAAAATAAAGTAGACACTCTCACACTGTGCCACTTCCATAGACTTTGGTGCGACTAGATGGTAATGTGTCCACTTTACTACAAGCAATACTGTAGATCTAGACCTTATCATACCTGTTGCATACAAAGTATGTAGAAGTCAAATGTCTGCAGTGTTCTGCACAATGTCCTTGTCTGTGAACATGCATAACTGCACAATTTAACAAAAGAATCAACAAAGATCAATTTTTCATGTTTTACAGTGATAGACACTCGTGCCAAAATTTCAGTTATTAATGTAAATATGTGTTAAAATCATGGAAATAAAAACCCTGCTAGAGGATAAAAGAAAATAAACATTATTTTTTTTAGCACTAGTCTAAATCTTTAACTTCAAGACAAGAATTTTCAATCGTATTCCCCTAATGTCTGATCTCATCTTTCTTAACCCCAGTCTTATCCTAAAGAATAAGTGTGCAGAAAATCTCATGTGCTTAGTTTGAGTAAGAACAATGTACAAATTTTCACAAAAAAAGGTGGCAGTGGTGTCAATTTGACATTGCAAAAACTAAGGTTCACTGCACTCATTCACTGTACACACTGTTTAGGATTTTATTTTTAACCTATTTTGAGGATTGTGGATAAAATTACTAACTTAGATAAGAAGACTCTTCTCATTGGTGTTTTACTTTTTTTCTCACAACTAGGGTCTACATGTGTATAACAAAAATAGTGTTGACTGTGTGCTTTGTTATATCAAAATGGTGCAGTTCGCATATGCAAAGACATCCAACGTTAGATTGTTCTTGCAAGTCTTCCTCAATTTTTAATGAGATTCTTGTGCACAATTACTCTTCAGATTTAAGCACGAGAGGAATATAATAATTATCTGATTATTGCAATCATACTTCATACTAGGCCTAGATCTAGGTCTCCTTAATGATTGAGTAAGTCACAGATTGTTGACCATGTTAACCCACTTGCGAGGCAAGGTTCTTCACAATTTCACTTCAACAAAACATCATAAATGTTGTCAACGAACACTGATGAATTTTGAAATGGACTAGATCTATCGACTAATTTAATCAATCTTAAACTTCAGCAAACTGCTTCTCTGATAGTTCTGTTTTCACAAAATTAAACCTCTTACAAAAGTAGTAGTGCTGTTTAATGAGGTAAGATATAAGCTCAATATAAACTTTTACTTAATGTCAAAAACGTCTTAAAATCGACATTGTTATTGCTACCTTTTCCTGCACAGTTTTCAACAGTCCACCCATGCCCCACCAATTCCCTCCGGCTTCGCCTTCGCCTTCGCCTTCCTCCTTCTTGGCGTTGCTGCAAAGAACAAAACAGAACAAAATTTCAGTCAATTCAATTAGCAATTATTTCACTAAAACACACATTAATACCTTAATAGCATTTCATAAAAAAGAAGCACGGAAATTAGAGTACCTTTCAGCCATTTTCTGCTCCTGCTTTGTTATCATTTATTACGTGACGAGTGTTTTTTATTTTTGTTATGTTGCGCGATCCAAACGATAGAGGGCGAGAAAACGTTTGGTTTAATTTTCTGAAGAAAAGTGGGTTTTATTTCCCCCATTTTCTTTTTTCTTGTTATGACATGTATTTCTATTCTTTTCTTTCTTTCTTTGGGGGGGGGGGGTCATTTTTTTTCTTCTTTCTTTTTTTTTATTTCTTCGGCCTTTTTTTTTTCTTTCTTTCTTTCTTTCTTTTTTTGTTTTTAATATTTTTTTTCTTCTTCTTTTTTTCTCTCTTTCATCATCTTACGTTCTTCTTTTCTCTTATCCTCTTTCTAGGCTGGAGCATTTATTGACTTTTTGATTGATTGATTGATTGATTTTATTCGACAAGCTTCCAACATACAACAATATACAATCAAAACAGATAAAAAAATAAGCAAGCTTGAACAGGATAACCCACGAAAGCTCGAGAGCTTATTTCTAGTGGGGTCCCCTACAGACATGTACAAAATGAATAAGTTAAATTAGTAATATTTACAGACAGATAAGGAAAATAAAAATAATTACTTATTAAAGATAATAATAACAACAACATTAAACTGATGATAGAAATGATAGCAAGTACAAGAAGAAAAAGAAGAAGGAGAAGAAGAAAAAGAGGAGGAGGAAGAAGAGGAAATAATGATGAATTTGTAGAATTTCTATAACGTATATACAAAATAAAAAAGTATGAACCGGCAGAAGAATACAAATTTCAATCATATAACATGTCATTCACTTCTCTTCTCTGACTCTCAAGTATTAGGTATTCCTTTAATTTCCTCTTAAAATGAGCATAGTTACCATTGGGAAGGGAGTTCCAATGTTTTATGGCATGTAATAAAACGAATTTCCAATTATACTACCTACTCTTTCTCTTTTTTTCTTTCCCTCCCGAACACGAGGCCGGGTGAAGGCCTAGGTTTTCAAATTTATGTTTTTATCTAATAATTTTGGCCGTGCCAGCAGGGGGAAATAAAACTGAGGGAGGTTACAAAGTAGTGATGAAAATTTTGAAAATAGAAGTTGTGGAGGTATAGGCCAGGACTTGAACAGTAGAGAAGGAAGGAAAAAATTCATGAAAGAGAAAGATGAATATAATCAAAATATTATGAGATTTTTTTGTTTCGCAATAATTCATACTATTGAAAGGGCATTTTGATGGCTTCAACTTAGAATGAATGCAAAATTAAGTATGCCTCACTAAGGCCTATACTTCGGCTAGGGCATATTACGGGGGTGTGCCACTCTAACTAGTGGGTAACTTTTTCACACAAAAATTTCTATTAAAACATGGGTCCCATTTTCAACAAAAATACCCCTGAATTACATGGGTCCGCTTTTTCAAAATTTTCGAAATTTTGAAAAAAGGGCTCTACTTCGAGAAAAAAATTGCCAAAATGACCCTAAAATAGGTTGGGGTTTTGAGGCTTCAGCGGCACACCCCCGTCTAAACCAAATCTGAGTATCCCCCCCCCCCCCCCCCGCTAAGGTGAGAAAACATACGTTTTTTACAAATGATTTTACTTTTCATTACCATGGACAAAACATAATTTTTTGAAAAAGGCCCTGAACTTTAATTTAAACAGTGACAGAATTATCATATGATTATGCAAGAATGAACGTTTATTTGAAGGTTAATTAATCTGGGTCAATTGCAGCCTACACCCCCCCCCCCCTCATCACCAATTTGCGTACATTCAAATGTAGTTGATTATAATTCAAACAAATAGGATCATTCTCAAATTTGTATAAATAATGTTACAACTACAGTGTTACATACTTGAATAATTGAGTGCAAAAGTAAAACAATAGCAAACGAGGAATGGAAAAAAACTAACGACTACTTCATGGAAGGTGAGCCCCTTGGAATGTTTGCCCCCCCCCCCCCCCGTCGCGTTATGTGCGTGTTCAGCCTATGGGAAAGTTTAGGGTTAGGGTTAGGGTCAGGGTTAAATCAAGACCTATTTAAAAAAAAAAAAAACCCAAATCTGTGCTGCAGAAAAAAATGACGCCCCCCCCCCCCTGGTCCTAAACTGCTTCCGACGCGCCTGACCTCCACCCAGGGGCGTAGGCAACGGGGGGGATGAGGGGGATGGCATGTACAATCATCCCCCCCCCCCCCCAGGTTTTGGGGAATGATATTTGCTTACTTAATAAGTCATAATGATGATAATAATAGTAATAATAATAATGATAACAATTATAATATTAATAATAATAATAATTATGATGATGACAATAATAATCTTCATCATTATTGTAATTGTGTTTATTGTTATTAGCCGCATTCACACGGTGAAAGCCAATTCAGACGGTAAAAAAAAGAAAATCTTACGAGTATTTTGTGGTTATCTTGTGGTTTGGAAACCACAAGATAACCACAAGATTAAATAGTCGCGGATCTACGGGTGGGGGGGAGGGTTAGGGGGTTTAAACCCCCCCCCCCCCCTTGGGCGGCCCAAAAAACAAACAAAACAAAAAAAAAGAGAAAAAAAGAAAGAAAAAAAAGAAAAAAAGAAAGAAAAAAGAACGCACGCTGGAGAGAAACCCTTTCAAGTGCAAATATTGTGAGAAGATATTCAACTCATCTGGTAACTTAACCAAACACATGATAACTCTGGATATAACTGTGTATTTAACTGTTACTTGATTTAAAAAGACGTTATCATGTACTGCTTTTTATGGTCTCCATTGTGTTAATAGATGCCAGGAAAACATCACTTACGGGGTTCAAATAAACACCCCAAAAAAAATCGGCTCGCTGCTTCGCGGCTCGTGGACGATGCTCCGCATCGTCATTATTTTGGTCAACCCCCCCCTTAGCAAAAAACTAGATCCGCCCCTGAGTCATCCCCCCCAGGTGTACGAACCTGTCTACGCCACTGACTCCACCAATACTGGAATGCGAATTAAAAAGGCATTGATTTGGGGAAATGGAGAGGGTTAATTCACCCTTTTAATGCCCCTCCCGTAGATACCCCCCCCCCCCCAATCCTCGTTTAGTTGCTGAAAAGGCTTTTGACGAGTACCAGCATAGACGAAGACCATCTCAAATGATTTAATTTTCTTGTAGGCCTACATGTATTTTGTTATGGAATGCAGATTATGTTTGTAGACACACACGGCGCTCCATACTCACAAAATACAAGAAGTGCGTATCGTACACAAATGTTCTTTGTATGCTATGCATGCAAGCGATGAGAAAGTCGATCAAACTTGAGAGACATTTGTTACGTTGGTTGCAATTATTATCGCCAAAATGAGTAATCCACGATATGGAGGCCGGTCAGATATCAATGCTAAAATAAAACTTGGACTGTCAAATGGATCCTTGGATAGTAGAACCAGCAACTTACAACGTGGTGGGTTGAACAAGGTGAGGAAGTTGAACTAAAAAAATAGTCACAGAATGTGATTGTGTAAAAAATAATGTGAGGGTGATCGTGATCTTGAGTTGAGTGAGTGGCTAATGCATCCATGCACAGATGCATGGGTGAGTCTGAGTCTCTGAACTCTGTATGAACTATGATCACCATTCATTGCTACCTTACGTGTATTCCAATATTTCTTCTTGCACATATTCTTATGAATTTGATTCCTTTACATACAAATTGTAATGATTGTTTCACTAACACTAAACTACCGGTAGACTGAAATTTCTGTCTCTTTCCTCCTTCTTCGCTATAAGGTCTAGTCTAAGTACCGTACAGGCCACCTTCGCCATCGGGTGTATTCTCGTACTGATTTGTTAGCCTCTGATTTGGGTAGGGTCTGCTCCTCAAATCAGAGGCTAACGAACGAAAGAGACAGAAATTTTCGGTCTAACACTAAACATGCGAAATGACTATCACTCCAGCTTTGTCATGCTTTTTTTCTTTTACATAAAACTTTAAAAGTCGTTTGTTGTGAGTCTCCAAAATTTGTAACTAGAAAGTAGAATCTAGTGACTAGTCAGTGGAAACATTTTTTATCACACCTCTGAATCTCTGAGAAAGACAAAGGAGACAAAAAAAGAAGAAGTAGAAAAGGAGGATGAGGAGGAGGAGGAGGAGGAGGAGGAGGAGGAGGAGGAGGAGGAGGAGGAGGAGGAGGAGGAGGAGGAGAAGAAGGAGAAGGAAGAGGAGGAGGAGAGGGGGAGGAGGAGGAGGAGGAGGAGGAGGAGGAGGAGAAGAAGAAGAAGAAGAAGATAGTGGTGGTAGTGCCATGATGGTAGAAGAAGAAGAAGGAGAAAAAAGACAGGAAGAAAAAAACTTGTAGAAAGGAATTGTACATATGGTACCGGTACAATAGGGTTTCTGCCTTCTCTCCTGAACTGAGTTTCTACAATGTATATCTATTGGTTCCATTTATTATACACAAGAAGGAAGTTAGGCTTAACAAATTATTATCTTTACAACACCCACACAATATAACTACATGTAGGTCAGATATTTTGCATTGTGCTACTTGGTGTAATTGTTATAGTCCTTTCCTGGCCAAAGATCCCATGATCTGGCACTCAAATTGTCTCTTATACACTGTACTCCTAGTTTCTCTTTTGGATTTCTAGAACATGAGGAGAGGGTTCCATTGAACTTCCATGTTTAATAACCCATTGCCTACATGAACCGGTGGTCCCTGTTTTAAGCCTATGGGAGTTAGAAAATTCAGTAGTCAGCCGGTCTTCTCTCTATTGGGTATGCCACATTGTATTTATCATGGGGTAGATGTATACCAAACTAAAGGCTTAAAGGTACTACTACATGTATGTCCCTTTTGCAGCCAACCTCAAAATTTAATAGAACTTTGCAGGAATTATGAATATGTCATGTACATGTATGTCCTATCTGTGAAATTTAAACGTTAGCAGTGTCCGAATATTCAAATTATGCAAGGAAACCTGTTTACTTGCTAGACTTCACTGTCAGACACTATTGAGTGACTGACTGGCTTTTTTAATATCTTTCAAATGCCCTTGGAATTTAACCTTTACATGTTTTTGGCCTGCAAATGGGACATAGTATCTTTAAAGGTTATCTAATTGTTTCAAGTGCAAGATTAATATCTGTGTTCAAAGCATTTTCATGGAACTAATTATCAAGACTGCACATGGGTAATTTCGCAAAGCCATTGGGTTGCACAAACTAGCAATCCCTCCGTCAATTGGTGCCCATTGTTTTGAGCATGAGTGCATGTTTGGCAAATAACCAGCCATGCAGAAAGGCAAATAAAGCAACCAAAGTGTTAGTTCATATGTGATTTTTGTCCCAAACATACTCCCAGAACTTAAATTTCCTTACCCCTTGTTATTGATTTTTTTGAGTTTGTGTGTGTGTGTGTGTGTGTGTGTTTTGCAACTCAAGAATGAAAGGTGGACTGTTTGAATTGGGACTTTTTTTTTAATATGTTGATCTTCTAGATGTAAGGTTTTATATGCCACATTCTCAAGAATCAATTTTTCACATCCTAAAATATTACAAAACTTGGTAAGGCTACATGTACATGTATGTATGTATAGCTTAGTTGTTAGTTGTAAGTCCAGATCCCCTTCTACAAACGATAATGTGGATTGTGAAGCCTTGCCTATTATGCATTCTTTTCTTTGTGATGAATTTATAGTAGGGCTGTGACGGGTAGTCGAATGCTCGAGTACCCGCACGGTTGACAACTACTCGAGTACCATTTCTTGTACTCGAATATTCGGCCGCCACAAAAAAAAAAAAAAAAAAAAAATTCCCTGTCGCCTGGCACTGTCCAGGCCGACGCTAACCCGTGCCAGGGAGAGCGGCGGCCGCTTGCATAGTACCGTCGGTAAAAATGTTTCCCAACTCAAGCACTGTCAAACTCACCACTCAGAAACTGGGACCAAATGTCCGGATTGCTGTTTGGACTCGGAGGAAAATGATGGATTATTCTGCCATCTTTGGTTTTTAAAACAGGATTGATTGTTATTATTGTTATTATTAAATCGACGCCTTCAACTGCAACTCGATGTAAAATTGCATGCGCTTTCAGCGATGGACTTGGGATACTGCTCCAGAGGTATGGTGGTGCCAAAAAAAAATCCAAAATCCCCCCCCCCCCAAAAAAAAACCCAAAATAAAAAAAATTCCAAAAAAACATGGCGTCCGAATATTTGAGTATTCGCTTGTAAGCCTGGGAGTGTACTCGGGTACCTCATTACACTGTTGTGCACAGCCTTAATTTATAGTGATCTTATGTGCCTGCATTACAGTTGTATAGCAGGCAAATATTGTTTGTCTCGTTAATGTTCGCATACTTATACATGTACGTATGGTTGGTAAGGGTTGCTGTTTAAGAGTAAGAGGTAATCACATTGTATAAATAGGATTAGGAATGTGTTTAGTATAATAGTTTAGTATGTTCATAGGGAGGTCTGGCATAAGGATAGAAAGGGGTATATACACTGTAGATTAAAAGAAATTTGAAGAAATCAAAGAAAAGGCTATGTTATTTAATTAATTGCCTGCCCTCCTTTCTGTCTCTCCTGCCCTGTAGAAGTCGAGCAGAGTGAAGAAGTCTGTATACCTGTGGACTGCCGCTGATGTCAGATCATGGCTACAGAGGAAACACAGAGACTACTTTGAACGGTACTACTCGCTCTTCCTAGAGCATGATATATCAGGTAATTAATTGTTAATTATTATGAATTATTATCATTCTTTAGTCAACGAGGTTGTGAAGTCTATTTGTTCATTTATTTCCATCTTCATATAAAAACAATAGATCAAAAACGATATTATACATTTTTTTTTAAATACATGCAATTTACCTGCCGAAAATAAGAAAAGAGGAACTAAAATAAGGCCAAAAGGACTTGTAAAATAAGTTTCATAAAAGTATAAAATCATCATTACTGTTTATTAAAAGCCAGTGCACTGTTTACAGAGGTGTTGCGGTCCAGTGGATAAGTCTCTGGACTGTGAACCACGATCAATTCATTGAAATGCAGTAGCACTGTAATGGCAGCCATGCTAAAGCCAGGGTAATATGGAGCGCCAGGAGTGGCAATGTGCCAGACAAAAGCGCTATCGGTATTCAAAACTCCACTATAATTATTATTAATACATACATGGGTCATTTCACGTTAAGTGTACACTTTTTGAAAAATGGGGTTTTCCCCATTTTGGCATCTTTTAAACAATTATTATTTTATGTTGGCCATTTTATTTGATGGACCTTATCAACAGCAACCTACAGTTCAATTTTCATAACACTGCAAACATTATTTCTGTTAATTTCAGCATTTTTAGTGCATTTTTAACGGAAAAGGGATTCTCATTTCATAATTTTGATAATGTTCATTGATATCTTACATGAATCTATTGAGAGTTGTGTAAAATTTTAATGTTTTAGTGTCAGCACAACCACTATGTAACATCATAAAACTTATTTGACCAAATTTGACCAATAAATGTGAAAATGATGAATATTTTTGTAAAAGGCATCTTTTCCGTTAAAATTAAAAAACATGTCCTCTCCATAACATTGAGGCCAGCAGCAGTGACTTAAAATGATATATATGGGCCTAAACTCTATTTAAATAATCTTCAGAATGTTTGAAAATGAGGACATGTCTCAAATCAATGAACAAAATATGTGATATATATTTTATTGCTTGGTTAATTTGATGACTTTATTTTCCGTTAAAAGTGTGTCCTCTCCATAACAGGTATTTTCTTCATATATTAAAGCACTGAGGCTTGCACTATCTATGGCACTGGTATATACAATAATAATATGCCTCCATTTAATATCATGAAATGTGATTTTCCATCTACATATCTATAGATGGTCAGTATCTCACACTAATGCAATGTTAAACTGAATGTCCTCTCCATAACAGAGTTACCCATTGTTAACAATGTACAGAAACAATTATTTTTTTTATAGTATAATCACTTCCTTCATGTAAGAAAACATTGATATGTTGTTCCACTCAGTATAAGAATTCATTAAATATCATGTCAACAGCTATAATTTTATTTTGGTATTGATTTTCATTAATTCCTCTATGTAATTGGGTAATTTCTGAATGCAAAGACAGAAATATTCTCACAACATAGTCTGATATTAAATACATTTTAAAGTGCAATATTTGTAAGTGTGTAACTGACAAAATCTACTGATCATTGCAATCATTTACCTCCCTGGTAGCAATATAATGTATGCCATTAGGTTGTTAAGGAGAGGACACATTTTTTTAACCAGGCACTTCAAGTAGGGAAAACAAATCCTCTGACCTTTGCCCCATATACATCCATCCCTATGTTTATGTAGTCAATACATTGGAGCATGGGAGTGCATGCACATAGCAGTGTTTTCCTTGGACCAACTGCAATGCACCACTTTTACTTATGAGCATGTGTGATGTTGGTCAAATTATGCAGCCTTGACAAATATAAGTCAAAAGATTACAGTTATTGAGTGACCATGATTTAAATTTTTACAACATTTAACAATTTGTCCACTGATGCATATTGTTTCAACACAATAAGGAGGGTGGACTAATGCACAATTTGGAATGTAGATTTCGAAGAGGACTTTAATACTTGCATCACATATTATGCAAGTATTTGTACGATGCATTAAGCCAGAATATGTCACTGCAATTTAATATAAATTGTGATAGGTACCGGTAGTCATGTTTGTGGCAATATTCTATGGCATACTGTCAACTTGGAATGAATATCCCCAAAAATATGCTTTCAAGGGAGCAATAATCTAGTTTCTTTCAAATGGATTGAATATCATTGATCGTTTAACTTATAATCTTGCAGACAACATTGAAATTGAGCCTCATTACACATTCATGCTCTCAATTCTTTCAATTGGTTACATTACATTGAAGGTTTTCACCCTCTATTGTTCGTTTTACAGCAAGAATCGGCACAAGACATCAAGGAAACAACAAAGAAAAGAATGATTCATTAATCTAAAACGTTAACAATGGCAAGTGAACATAATAAGTACAGTGAGACAATGTGTCTTGAGGTGGAATGGAAAAGGTGGACAAATAAATTTGCAACAAATAAATCAGTTAAATGCCAAAATGGTTGATCCAAGATTATTGAAGATTTTCAAAAACTTTGACAAACTTTTTTATTTTTTACAGACACCAATTTCCTTTGCTGCAATATTCATTAAAAAAAAATCATACTTGAATTAAAATGATATACCGGTACATGATGCATGTGAATGTTCTTTTTTAATAATTAATTTATCAATACTGATACTCACTGTATCCAATGCTTAACTAATGAAAGCTTAATTTATAGGTAAAATGACCTTTGGTCTTCGACCTAATGACCCATCTATGCAAAATTGAGATGAGGAGGGCATTTCCTTACACAGCTTTCAAAAGTATCATTTGTGTTTATTAAATTTACAGGTATAAGTGCATCTCATGATTGGACTTAGAATTTTTTATTTATTTATTTATTTATTTATTTATTTATTTTTTGGGGGGGGGGGGGGGATCACCTACACATTATATTTGTAATAGATACACATTTTATGTTGATGATCCCAGCACTGTTGATGGTTTATAGCAACAAAAAAGTTAAAAGTATATATAAAGAAAACTATATCACTCTACGACACTGATGTGTAGATTTGATCTGAAAATTTCTCAAGAACAGTCAATATATGAAGGTATAGACTTTTTGTTAAAGACAAGCAAGTGCCTTGTTATCTGTGAAGAAAAAAAGTTGTTAAAGACAATTGTTTTGTTATCTGTTTAAAAAAGAACTGTGTTAAAGACAAGCAAGTGCCTTGTTATCTGTTAAGAAAAAAAAAGTTGTTAAAGACAAGAAGTGTCTTGTTACTGTTGAGAAATAGAACGGTTTTAAAGACAAGCAAGTAACTTGTTACAGTACCTGTTATTCATTTATCAGTTAGGACTTTCTGATCAGTTATACCAACAATTATGGAAACCTATATTCTCATATTGTTTTTGCAGGAATTTAAAGTAAGATGGTTTTTTTTGCTTATTACTCACTATAAATACTAGTTTAATTGACAATATGCATGGTATCGGGACATTTCCTACCTTATATTGCGTTATCTAACTTGGTATATGAAAATCAAAAATAAAGACTGGTGAATGTATTGATTACAAAAAAAGTAAATTGCATTTAAACATTCAGATGTCACTGTTAAACAAAGTGTCCTCTCCATAACATACAATGTATATCAACGAGTCACTCTTTGAGAGTTTGGATTATAGAAAAAATAAATAATAAGACTTGTATATAAAAACTGGTGTATCAATAGACAATATCAGTATTGTTTTTATTGTAAAATACTGTTTAAATAACATGAAACAATGTATGAATAACAAAACTTTCACGCCATATATTCTGAGATAAAGTTGGAGTTGTAATGATGGTGAATAATTTGAAGTTTATCCTCTCCAATATATGTCACTTGGCTCATATAAAGTTCCAATAATCTATTGGCATGTTCTTACATAAATGTTAAAAATGAATGATGCATAGCAATTTACATATCAACTAATATAGTAAGAGTTCATATTGCTAAGATTTGTTGTTAAACAAATGTCCTCTCCAAAACACATCAATGAATTAAGTTTGGAAGCTCATATTTGATTAAAACTTGCATTCACTTGTTTTTTTTTACACAGCATCAAATAATTTAGACATAAATGCAACACTGTATACCAAATTTGAAGTCTATATAAGAAGAAGGACAAGAAATTCTCATGTCATTAAATAAATTCAACCTCCCCATAATTCAGTTTCCTATAAAATACACTAATTTTATGGCAAAATATGGCTTAAGTGAATAGGAAATAAGTGCATCAACATCTGATAAGTATAAAAAGGCATATAAAAGTACAGAAAACTATGTGTATACCATTTACAGGTATAATAAAGCTGATGTGTTCTTTGTTAAACAAAATGTCCTCTCCAAACGCCTATTTTTGTTACTGTATTTCAATCGAATATTTCTATATGTAAACATGGACTTGACGCTCTATAATTTTACACATTTCTGACATATACCCCAAACTTTCAGAATCTGTGCATCTTTTGCTCTAACAACAATTTTCATTTTTGACCCCCAGTGAGAAAAAAAGTGTACACTTAACGTGAAATGACCCACATGTACTGTATGTACCGTAAACCATGCATTAGGCCTACATTATACAGATCAGGAAAAGAAAGGTTCTAGAACATGCTATCAAGCATTCATTCAATCAAATCAAAAGAATAGGCTATTTTAGTGATATAACCAAAATTTATACTTTTAAAAGCTAGTTCCTCAATAGTAATTATTTCATTCACCTGCTTGGAATAATTGTATTTAGATAGTGAGAATGCAAATCGAAAAATACATGTTGATAGGTAGGGCAAGTAATAATGTATGCAATTTGAATTCTGCTCTATGTTGGGCATGAGGAAGGGAAAAAGTATGATTGAAGAAAGAAACAAATAAATAAAAACAGACGGAATCTGGACTAGCTTTATATTGTAAATGCAATTACTGTAGGCCTACACATCAACAACAAAAGTTACACCACATAACAGTAGTTTCGATGGTTAAATATAGATGCACATTTGCACAGTCAACCATGTTAATTGTAGAGAGGAAGTTGTAGTAATATGAGCGTTTGGACTCAGTTTCACCCTTCAATGAAAATTAATTAATGAATGTAACTTTTATACATTGTGTATTCTAACAATACACTGTCTCTGCCTATGGTTTGCTATGACTTATCAAAGGATAGCTTTAGCTGTAAACCCATGTACCCTACATTTATAGAAGGAATACACATACTCACAGGAATATGATAATAATTATTAAAGGTATTACAAAGTTTTGGGAAATTTTGAAAATTGGGTGGATAGTGATTCTTTACAATTTCGATATATTTGGATGCCCCTGTGGATGTATTATAAGCACTAGAAATGTTAACCCCTAAAACAATTCTGCTTTCGAGAAAAATTGAATTTAAACATTTACCGGTGCTCCCGGTAAATTTTTATAAATTTCAAATGGCGCCTACGGCCGTACGATGGTAGCTACGACCCTGAGACTCTCAGAATATGTAGTTGTGATATATAATTTCCAAACGGGAATAGCAAATCTGTCGATTTTAGTCAAGAAACATTGTTTTATAACTTAATTGATATCTTGACATTGAGAGGGCGCTATACAACAAAAAGAGTTTATTATTTACAATTTCATAACTTTAGACTCGATTTCAACCGCAACAACGATCACTTAATGTTGTAGGATCGCATATGCTTCCAATATGTTCATTTGAACCAAATCCATGACCCCATACCAAAACTTTGTAATACCTTTCATAATAACAACAACATTGAAAATAATAATGATGATACAAATTTGTTGTTAACCTAGGGTAGCCTCATCAGTATTAATACTCAACTTCTCACTGAGGGCCCTGCTATCATATTAATACTCCGGCTTTAGCCCAGCTGCCATGATAAGGCGCCCAAGCATTCAAGGAATTTCTTCCTACCGGGGTACCCATGTTCTACACAATGGTGGAGAGTGGCAATATAGATTGATATCTTGCCAAAGGACATTACATTCATTCTAAAGGGTGCATGTGTCCTATACATGTGTGCCACTTGTTTATGTAGTCCTATATGCATCTTTCTGTGTACAGTGCTGGTAAATTTACCAAGACTGGGCCAAATTTTTTTTCATTTTGATGATTCCAGAACCTTGCAGTACACACCAATACTTATATGGTAGATGATCAACCTTTTCTGATCGATTCCACACCGTTTCTTTCACAATGCAATCGCATGACCATGCAGAACTCAACTTTGTCTTTAAGCAAGTAAAATATATTCTCTGGGCTGAGCTGGTATGATGCACAATGTATTTGAAATATTCAATGAATAGCAAACCAGCCAAGGAAGAAACAAACAAAATCAAATCTTTAATAGTTTCAACAGATGGATGAAATAAAAATACATCTAGGCAGGTCGTTCAAGTGTATTTGTAGTGTAGATAATTACAGCTCTTTGGGGATGAGATCGTGGAGGTGTGGTTAGGTAATGAGCTTCATGAGTATCTACAAGTCCCACGGAAAACAACGACAAGGCAATTCGGAGTAATGTACAGATTGAAAACCTCACTCAAACCGTCAAACCGTGGACCACAAGGAAAAGGAGCTTCTTTTATTAAACAAACAACACTTTTCATTGTTCCATATTCCTTTCAGCATTTCTAGTATGAATTTATATAAATTAATATAAATGCATATTACCAGCACACTATTTTTTTTCTCCAAAATGTTGACATGAATGTAAATTCATCGTCATTAGCTCTTGGCTTTAGTGAATTAGATTTTCCTTATACAAGGTGTAATAATGTTTGATTTCTCATTTTTTTTCTTTATCTACAGGTCGAGCCTTAGTAAGACTGAATGAGATGAAGCTAGAAAGAATGGGGATAGAGAACAAAGAACATAGGTAAGCAGTATAAAAAAACTAACTTCCTCCTTCGCCATAACTATTTCCTACTAATTGTGTTTGTGTAACTTCCTCGTGGAGAAAGTCTAGACCGAAAAATGTCTGTCTCTTTCGTTCATTAGCCTCTGATTTAGGTAGGGTCGGCTCCTCTCTTTGGGTCGGTTTCTGTCTCTAAAGAGAGGAGCCAACCCTACCCAAATCAGAGGCTAATGAACGAAAGAGACAGAAATTTTGGTCTAGAGAAAGTCATTCAGATTTACATGTATCTGTACATTGAAATTTTTCCTTTCGAATTTGTTAATGTATGGTGAAGAATGATGCTATTTTAGAATTATACGGGAGCTGACCCTGAACAATACCATCGTAATACCAGGAGAACTCCACTCATATCCTTTTGAAAGGGGATAGGGTACTACTTAGTTTCTCTGATGTACATTTTGTAGACTATACTTCTACAATCCAACAAACAGTGCATTAAAGCCCCAATGTACTACTTATAGCTACTTGCACCCTCTTTATAGCAAACAATGCCTAATCTGTGCCTGTTGGTCCCCCATGATCCCCTTTTTCTAATGTAAATTGAGAGCTGAGTCGATGAGAAAACCACATTTCAGTGACCTTGCAGGGAGGTCTAATCCCTCCTGGCCAAACTAGTGCAGACTTTAATAAATGATTTATATCATCTCACTCTTCTCCTCGTTGCATGCAGAATGGACCTTCATGAGCAAATACTCAAGCTGCGGATCAAGCACGAACAGAACGAACTGAGGCTTCTACGGAAAACTGATGTTGTGGTGAACAAGGATTGATCAGCTGGGGGGCGTTTCACAAAACTTGTCATCAGTGACACATGACAGGTTTTGTTATAAGCTACTGAAATCCTTGCTTCTGATTGGTTATCAATAGATTTGTCACTGATTCGAGTCATTTGTCATTGAAAAAAGGCTTTGTGAAATGCATCCCAGGATTCAGGACTGAAAGCTCTTAGAGAAAATAGTTACTTGCATTCTCTTTTTCCAACTTTGATGAGACTGTGCTCAGTTCTTGAAGAAAGGCTTTCATTGATGGCAATGAATTGCTCAATGTGAGATCTTGCATGTTTTGTACTATGTAATGCTATTTTAATTCTCCAGTTCCAACTTTGAAGAGACTGTGCTCAGTTCTTGAAGAAAGGCTTTCATTGGTGGCAATGAATTGCTCAATGTGAGATTTTGCAAGTTTTGTACTACAATGCTGACAATAAATAGTTATTTTCATTCTCCCTTTCCAACTTTGAAGAGACTGTGGTCAGTTCTTGAAGAAAGGCTTTGATTGATGGCAATGAATTGTTCTATGTGAGATTTTGCAACTTTTGTACTACAATGCTGAAAATTTGGGGCTCAAACTCCTGAGAAGGGATTGTTTCATTCTTCCTTTCCAACTTTAAAGAGACTGTGCTCAGTTCTCGAAGAAGGCTCATTATTGATGGCAATGAATACTTCAATGTGAGATCTTGCAAGTTTTGTAATACAATGCTGATAAGACTGGACTCAGTTCTCAACACAGGCTGCCATTGATGATGATAGAAACATTGATGTGAAATTATTAAAAGTCTTGTACTATAATCTTCTTGCTTTATAATCGCCTGCATGTAGTCGCACCGAGACTGATAACAGACCACACAACATTTTGATACCTCTTATGGTCATTAGTCGGGTGGTTGAGAGTTTGCTTGGAATCAGTTTGGCAGTGTGGCCGAGATACATTGTACATGCATGAATTTTTAACTTAATTTTCTGTTACAGTGTACCAGTCTTTGTTTATCATGATGAAAATGCTAAAGACTGAGCTCAAGGTTTTGATACAATCAAGCAGAGAATTCCAAGTAGTGCTGCAGTCAAAAAGCTCTATTAAAGACGTTAGGATGATAGTGATACCAGTCGAGACCCTTAGATTCTGCGTTTGAACTTTGCAGCAAACCTTAATTATCTCATTGTTACCATTGCAATAGTAGTATGTAGTAATATAGGAGGAAGGAGTAGTAGCAGTAGTAGAAGCAGTAGTAGTATAAGTAGTAGTAGGAGTAGAAGAAGTAGTAGTAGTAGTGGTAGTGGTAGTAGAATAGTAGATGTCTTAGAAAGAATAGTAACTTTTATAGAAGTTAAGTTGTCATAGTATTAGATGCAATTCTAGTGGAAGGAGAGGAGGGGCAGGGGGGCATTTCACAAAACTTGTCATCAGTGACAAATGACAGTTTCTGTTATGAGCTACTGAAATCCTTGCTTCTGATGGGTTATCAACAGATTTGTCACTGATTTTTGTCATTTGTCATTGAAAAAAGGCTTTGTGAAATGGATCCCTGGAGGGGAAGAAAATGGGGGAAGAGAATGGGAAAGAGGAAGAGGGAGGAGAGAAAAACATTCGGAAGGGACGTAATTTGAGGGAGGAAGGAAGAGAAGTAGGAAGAGGAGGAGCAGTATTGTGTGCGTGTGTGCTTCTATTCTTCTACACTGTATATGTTTGCAAGTAATGGCATTATAAACTTCGATCCTAAGTTACATGATAATGGCATTGTTTGATACATCATTGTATATCATTTGTTATTTGATTCATCATCATGTACCTGTATATAACACATTTGAACATAAATTTATATATTATCAAACATTTTTTGTATATTGTTATGTAAATAAAGTACATGTCAATTTTATGTGCACAAAAAATGATAATAGAAAACAATAATCCTATTTCTTTGTGTTGTTACTCGATGTGGAGTCTCATGGTGTGCAGGTGTCGAAGCAAAATTGTTGTGTGCAATTCATGCCCCCAAAACCTGTGTGAAGTATTGTGCCACTGGAATGAGTGTGGAGTGTACATCAAGAGAGAGAGAGAGAGAGACAGAGACAGAGACAGACAGACAGAGAGAGAGACAGAGACAGGGAGAGAGAGGCAGAGAAGAGAGACAGAGAGAAAGACAGACGGAATAATGAAAGGTTGGGTATTGAAGGGAGAAAAAAAGAAGTTTTGTCTTCTTTTATAAGCTAACTCTTGGAAACTGTTGCCTAAATTTGATATCACCTCTATTTTGAAATTTCTTGCTATTAATATACTCTATGTTTTCTTCTCTTCTTGGTATTTCTCTTCCTTTTTTCTCTCTCTCTCTCCCACTCTCCTGTGTCTAACTCTTCCTCTTTTCATCTCTGCAATCGATTATGTTCCCCACATACACATACATGTAAATGTCTTTAACAAGATAATGCAGATAAAACACATACAGTAGTTTTCTTAGGATATATTTCTTATTTTCTTTGCATACTGGCGGTGGAATACACACATATATCTTCATATCTTTACATGACAACAGGGGGATTACAATATAACAACCAAAGGATTATCAAAATACACAATTTAAATAAACAGTGTACTACCTATAGCTAGAGTTCATTCATAAAAAGGGATAAAACGAGTTCTAAAACAGAATTAGATTAGTCCATTTCAACCAATATATGTGTACATGTACACAATGTGTTTCACAACAGAAATTCAGTAAGATTTTTTTAAATTTTTGGACCGAAATCAGTCAAAGCAATGATTCTTCTCAATCAGCTGATTAATAAACATGAACAAGAAGTATTGTGAGAGTTTTTAATGTAAATAATGATATCAATAACATGTAATAATCATTATACACATGTTCATAATTGTAATTGCATCCTTCATATTTGCTAAACAATTTTACCAGGATTTTTAGGATGATTATAAATTATCATCCAGGTAAAACAATTAATAATGTTTGGATGTGTCAAAACTTTTTTTCTAAACTATTCCTCATATTTTTTGTCTTTACACATACCTTTCAAAATATAAAAATATTATATTCATCACTTTTATCTAATCTAATTCAGATATCATAATCTTTGGAATTATTATTCTTTACATCAATTATTTATTTTCATTGTATGCATTACAATATTCATTATATACAAGTTCTTCAGCATTTGATACTTAGTTATTGCATTTAGTTACCAATATATTCATCATCGTGTATACCATTTCTTGTTTTCAATGTTTCTGATATAACCTTCATAATAATTCCATTTAATTCGTCATATTCATTACATTAATTCCTCTTTAAGAGTATGAATATAGGATAAGCATCACAAATAGTATAATAATATTCTTTCAGTTAGAAACACTTCCACATTTTTTGTCTGGTTGTTAACCATCTTCTCAATTCCATTTGTATGGAAAAGTTGAATTATAATAGTACAAAAGAGTATTCCAACTCCTTTATCCGTATTTACTTTTAGATAAAACAAGAGAATTTACACAAAAAGAACACCAAAAGTAATATGTTGCAAGAGAAGAAAGGATAGGTGATGAAAAACCAAAGAAAAAATTCTCACGAGAACGAACAAAGAAGCTGACAATCACACCAATGCAATATGGTGCTTTGAATTGCTTGTGGCCAACTTTCCAAACATAATATGTAAAAATTAAAGATTTAATCCTTGAATGTAGAGAACGGAGTTTGAAATGCCAGAACTTTTTCATAGTTAGATACCAGCTGCAATTTTACATCAGATGTTTTAAATATACTATTTTGTTTAATGTCTAATTGTCATAGCTAGCTCATGATCAGAAAGTTTATATCACCAGTCGTAACAATAATCTGAAATTTTCAGGCATATATTATTGAAATAACTTTGACAAATCAATTCACTGTTCCCTTCCAAAATGCATGTAAATTCCAACCTGGTTTTTAGCGACCACCTGTACAGAAAGGCCACCCATCTACAAAGACCACATTTTTCCTTTCCCTTCTCTTGTCTCCCTTAAGTGGTCTTTATATACATGTTTCACCGTACCATGGTAACCTTGGTAATACCATGGTAATTTTACAGTACTATATGGTAACTCCATGGTATTATTACAGTACTATATGGTAACTCCATGGTATTATTACAGTACTATATGGTAACTCCATGGTATTATTACAGTACTATATGGTAACTCCGTGGTAAACATTGTAGTGGTGCCCTGTCGAACCACAGTAAAACCACAGTACTTTTACAGTGGTTATGAGGTAGAGATACGGTTTAAACCTTGATATCTTTCCCCAATCGTTGAATCTCTTCCAGAATGAAAGCCAGGTTCTCGTCTTTGATTCTGGCGCTACCGATACCGACTTTGAAGAAGTTGACATGTGACTTGACCTCGTTTGGTTGGAACGTGAGCAGCATAGTACCCTCGAGGGTCATGGCTTCCTTGACCTGAGGCGCAACCTGAATCAAAGATAAACAAAAGGACAAAATTATAGACCGTAACCAAACAATCGAAAAGAAAGTGATCGCATAGACTTTCAAGAAATCAACAGGTTATTTCAATACTCTCTATACTATATTCCATAGAAATCTTGTTCAGATGGTGGAATGCATCTTTGTAATATTTTCACAAATCAGCAGGCGACATCCACTGGGCTATTGAGCTTGCCTTAGCTGTATATTTTGTTTTGTCTTTGCCATTTGGTTAAAAGTATTATTGAGACAACTGATACTGAATGCTACAAAGGTTCACATGAATAATGTATGACAGAACACATTCACTAACATATTTCAAATAAATGTACCTTGCTCAGTCGCTTGAAGTAATCTGCGTTTTGTTCTTTGCCTCGCAGACATTCAGGAATATACCAGAAACAAACGTTTGTACATTCAGGCTGCACCGAAAGAGAGTAAGAGAAAAATAACAAGTATAAAGACTAAAATAAGAGCAGGGGTCTGTTTCACAAAAAACATGTTCTCAATAACAAGATATGATATCTGTTACAAGCTACTGAAATCCTTACATTTGATTGGCTACAACCAGATTTGTCATATATCTGTGGCAGATCTTATCGATAACACGTTTAATGAAACAGGGTCCTGGATAAAGAGTGGGAGAGAGAGAGAGAGAGAGAGAGAGAGAGAAATGGGATATATATATATATATATATATATATATATATATATATATATATATATATATATAGGCAATGGTAGGGTGAGAAAGAGGCAGATGCAAGAAGAAACACCGCCCTTTTAATAGTGTATGGTTCATATTTGGGATCATTTTGTTTGGAGTGGAATCCATGCTCAAAAGAGTTGAAACGGCCACTCTAAAAAAAAAAGTAGTCAAATCACTAATTTGGAGTGGATTCATACTTTTGGAGAGGATTCAACACTACATAAATCAAAGCGATCTCTGATATAATGAACTACTTTAGAAATGAATTTTCAACTCGATCTATCTACGTCACTAAGAGAGTATGTCATGATTTGTAATTGCCCTGTAGAGTAGACTGACAGATGATTTCATCAGCTATCTAGATTCGTCTTTGCTTGAGGTAACCAGATATTTTCTTCTATTAAAAACATATTTCATGTCAAATCAAATGTAGGCACTCACCTCTTGAACAAGTTGAAAGCCCTCAGTATTCTTGATGAGATCTGCTAGGCTCCTGTTTTAGATGAAAAAGATCCCACACTTATTAATAAGATGATTTAGAATGGTATGATGCATCTATAATCACTGCATTAAATATCTTTGTCTCGGGCGAAAATATACTAATGTCCATCACCAAAGTAATAATTTTCACCACCCTCATAACTTTATAACCTAACTAAACTAGATTTAGTGAGCAGTGGTTGTACCAACTGGTGCTGGGACAACAGTCCTACTACATAAATGAAAATGAATAAACCAGACCAACAACCTTTTTATGTTTCCTTTCCTCCTTCCTTCCTTCTCTCTCCCTTTCTGCCCCTTACTTTTTGCCATTTGTTTCAGTCAGATGACTGTACCATGTGCCACTCATCATAACCACTCTGGCATAAGAATAAGAAGATGAATAGCTTTGAATCAATTATTTACCTGGCCATATCAAATTTGTGAGTAGTCTCTGCGTCGAATCCCTTGTTGCCCTTGGCCTTCCACATCAGCCAGAGTTTGAAGATATCCACCCTACGACCACACTGTAGGGTCTTATCTCCAGTGTCGTAGGAGACATCGTAAAACTTGTCAGGCTGGAACAGGTACTCAGCATTGGCAGCGTGGCACTTGGTCATTAAGTCCTTCTGCAATTAAAGGTAAAGACCAGTATTGGAAACGCCCCAATTTCAAAAAATGAAATGGAAGCTCTCATTACCAATCATGTGAAAGAATATGTTTTAACTAATAAATGATGATACAAAATTTGCCGGGAAACCGCCTACTAATTCATATATTTGGTAAATTTGTTTCTCTCATGGTCTGTGAGAGATATAGGGTAGTCCCATATACATCTTTTTGTGTATAGTGCTTGTAACTTTACGAAGAATGGGCCAAATTTCTTATCATTTTGATGATTCCAGAACCTTGTAGATGCTAGATGCTAGATGATCAACCTTTTCTGATCGATTCCACAACGTTTCTTTCACAATGCAATCGCATGACCATAACTGGTCTTTACCTTTCAGTAAAGAGAACACTCGATTATAGACTAGCAAAGCTCAGAACAGAATAAGATTTTGAGCTAATGTAATATGGGAAGGCAAATATGCTAAGGCCTTAAATGAGAGTCATCCCTCTAACTTGGTTTGAAAATTTGGTTTTATTGAAAAGACTTCAATATAAAAAATGAACCTGGTATGAAGATTTAATCTCTTTCTTTATTTGTATTCCATCTCCTCAAAGTAGTAGCCTAAATAACAAGGTCTCATTCTATCTCACATTTTCTTCTTCAAATCTTCTCACAATTATGGAGAGGGGGAGAGATCGAGGGGAGGGGTATATAATAGACAGAGAGGGAGAGAGAGAGAAAGAGGGGAGAGGGGTATAGTAGAGAGAGAGAGAAAGAAATTGGGGCATAAAGAATGCAAGAGAGAGAGGGAGAAAGAGAGAGGGAGAAAGAGAGAGGGAGAAAGAGAGAGATAGAGAGTGAGGGACGGTGAGACAGAAATATACACGTATACCGACAGAGGGGGGTGAATCTCATTTTTATCTTAATCAATCAGCAGGAATGCTTTAACATAAAAAATTCCTTACGTTGCCATTAACGACAAAAGACGTGCACTGAAACGGTACTCCCATCATCTTGTGCAGACACCATGTGAGTGATTTGACCCGATGGATGCCTTTGAGCAGATGTCTGTACTTCCGGGTCATCATGGCCCCTCCGCCCCATGCGGCATCTACATGCAGCCAGATGTCCCCGTGTCTTTCACAGATGTCGGCTATGGGCTCCAGAGGATCGTAGCTGGCCAGGACCGTGGAACCACACGTGGCCGCTACCATCAATGGAATGTGGCCCTACGGTAGAAAAAAAGTGATTTTATTTGATGAATTCACATTATTGGTATAAACTGCCAGATACAACTATAACAGCACATTTGTCAGAGGGGGGGGGGGGGGGGGGGGGGATAGTAAAAAAAAAATGCCAAGAGGCTTCCATGCACAGCCAGTACAAATTCTTAAGTATTTTACAATATGCCAAGGGCAGAGAGAAAGAGAAAGAAGAATATGAGAAATGCAAAACAAATTGAAATTGAAATTATGTCAAATCCAAGAATATTTCTTGAAGAATGAATTTCAAATATGTTGCCTTTTGGTAATACTTAACAAATCTGTTAATATTTGGAATGTAAATTATCTAACTTCCTGGCTTCTTACTTGATAGTGTCTCTGTTGAAAACTTAATTGAACCTCTCGACCTCAAAATATGCCTAACTCAAAAGAAACAACATTCACAAAGCCTCATTAGAACCAGAACTTTGTGAAAATATTTATAACTTTAAAAAAATTATAACTCGAAAAATATAAAATTCACCAAGTCTCGTTAAAATGTGGTGAATAATTGACGCAGTGAACGTTTTAGACCCAAGACTTTGTGAAAAATATAATAATGTGCTCATTGTATTTTATGTCATTTTTCTTACTGATTATTTTTTTTACCTGTTCCTTCACCAAAATGATGGCTTCTTCCAGCTTTTCAGGGATCATCTTCCCTCTGTAAATGTTCGTTTCAAATGAAAACAAAAGCTACTTTGTATTCGATCAACAAACATGACTACATCGTATAAAAGACAAATCTCTACTAGAACTTGATCTCAATTGCAACTCCAAAGTAAAACAAAAAGGAATAAGAAAAAACAAGCAAACAAACCAACAAACACTGAGCAAAATCGGCCGGTGCCCGTCCCCTCCCCTGCAAACCAAAGTGGCAAAGAACCTTTAGCAAACAAGTAAAAGAATGTGCCCCCACCCCTATCACAAATCAACATGCCCTCAAAACCAAAATACCCAAACGGTCCGCGCTGAAAACTCCACATTTCCCCCTGTTTTATTTTTCATCTGATTAATATACATCAAACTCAGCAGTTTCCATGTGCATTAATTGCGTCATATTTTGCAGACGCCAGACGTATAGTTCAATCACTAATTAATGGGTGCACAAATCTGGCACGCAGCGAAACTCGAGGTCTACCTGCGAGAGAATGTTGGTCACCAATCGGATGCGGAATTTGTGATGATAACTGTTTATCGCGGGCGATTCTTTTGAAGCCGAGAGAGGATAAGGCTGGTTAAAACATCACAGAAAATCTGAGACACTGTCTGTAAATCTTCACTGGAAAGTTGCCTGAATGTTACGATCAATCGGGAATCGCTAACAAAAAGCACTGTACTGGTACCGCGCTCGCACAAAGCAAACTTTTTACACGTAAAATAATGGGGATCACAGCAAAATTAATGTATGCGGCCCGTTACCCGGGGCAACGGGCATCTTAAACAAAAATATTGACCGGTAGGCGGGCATGGCTAAAATCATGACTCCGATTTCGACCAATCAGATGACTAGATTTATTCAACATACTAAAGAGAGGTATACATATATATATTAAAGTGACTATTGATAACACCTGGTCTCGGGTAGATAGTCGAATTAGATTACAATCCACATGAGAACTCACGATCCATTCTTTTTTCTTCACATACCTGTCGTCTGTTGGTATGACCACAAGGTTGTCAGTTCCAATACCCATGAAAACAGCACCCTTTACAAACGAGTAGTGGCTCTACAAAATGAGATAAAAGCACCAAAATATTGATATGCTTCGACAAGTACAATATAAGTTTATTTGGACTTAAAGGGGAAGTCCACCCTGATATTACGTTGGTTTTAATAGTAGAGGCAGAAAATGAGAGAAACGGGTCAGTGAAAGTTTGAGCACAAACTAAATTAAAAGTAAGAACGTTATTAATGTTGAAGGTGCGATCAATCAAACACAAATTGGCAACCCTGTGACGTATCTTGCAAGCTCCCCTCCCATTTGCCCTGTACTAATGCCGTGTACCAAAAAAAAAAACCATTATATTTCCCTCGACCTAAAAAAAAAAAAAATCTTACATACACCTAAATATAATCATTGTTGCAAATTATGTTTCAGCTATCATTTTGTATTTTTTTTAAAACTTAAAGTTGATATTTTTCTTTTTCAAATATTGACAGTGTTCACTCGTAGAAATGTGTAGAAGGATATGCATTCAATTCTAAGCTCAATAAAAAGATATATATATATATATATATATATACGGTATATTAATACAATGTATTATATTTTTACATGAAATTGCATGTTTTTACTTTGTAAAAATGTTTTTAAAGATGAAATTCAAACTGAACTGAACTAATTATAGCTGACTAACTAAAGCGACCACTTAAGACTTATGAGACTTTTTCGATGGAAATTGATATCGAAAAATGATAAATGAGATAAAATAAGTATGAGCCGATACCTGATCTGATACAAATATCTTCATTGGTTTGGAGCCATATATTCCCTGTTTTCTGAAATTAGGGTTGATTCGATATCTAGCAAGATTAACTGCAAATAGATTCGCTAGCGTACCACCTGATAAAAGAGAGGAACAAATAAACTTAAAGGGATCCGGTAACTTTGTCTCCGATTCTGAAAAAAAATCCTAGATTTAGCTCATGCTGCAATGATAATAATAAACATTTAGGTCAGTCAGGAACCCCATGATTTTTACAAGCCGATCGCCTGTCTGATTATCTAGATATTTATGATTGGAAATCGAAACCAAATTTTGCGTTTGCCAAACGGTTTTCATAACACGTACTACAGTCTATTGTGGGAAAAGAGTATGGTAAAAACCGGTCACTCAAAGATTTTTACTTTTAAAAGAGAGGAACAAATAAACTTAAAGGGATCCGGTAACTTTGTCTCCGATTCTGAAACAAAATCCTAGATTTAGCTCATGCTGCAATGATAATAATAAACATTTAGGTCAGTCAGGAACCCCATGATTTTTACAAGCCGATCGCCTGTCTGATTATCTAGATATTTATGATTGGAAATCGAAACCAAATTTTGCGTTTGCCAAACGGTTTTCATAACACTACAGTCTATTGTGGGAAACGAGTATGGAAAAAAACCGGTCACTCAAAGATTTTTACTTTTTTGAGGTACATGTATTTCTTGATCATTTTGAAGCGCGTTTTTTTTAGGGCTTCAATATTTCACCATATCACAGACACTGATAACACGTAGGGCCGTGCATCTCAGATTTAACATTGTTAAACGATGCCTTTAATATATATATATATTGGGAAGAAGCATTCATGAGTTTGGTATAAATGGTGTGCCTATACAGTTAAATTATTGCTTGACGTATTTTTATACTTGAAAATGAAAGTCTAATTTTCTGCAGTCGGAAACAGGATATACTTTAATAGTCAGCCATTAAGATTATCTGAAGTTGACATCTCGGTGTCTACAAGAAATATAGTTGGACAAATTTAAACAAAAGAAAGAAATCTGGTGCACGGGACTGGCAGTGGCGTATCAAGAACAAAAATACTAAAAGGTCGTACTGAGAATATAATGCATGTAATGGACAGATCCTTCATGATAAAAAACACATCAACCACGCTTTCCTTTTAGAAAGCTAATCTAAAATGTAAGTTCTTGCAACAGAATGAGTAGGATTCTGAAGCCAAGCCAAGTCAATAAATTAATTTATTTGATTATTTTCTTTTGGTGGGAGGGGGGCTGGAGTATATAGCTTACCAGGAGTCAGTATTCCATCACCGGACTCGAAACCACAAAGATCTCTGATTTTACCCAATACCTCGTGCTCCATGAGCGTGAACACTGGAGCATTGTCAAAGGTATACCTGAAAAACAGATGTGTGTTCGAACAGAATATATAAGTTCTCATAGCATTGTGATCTTACTACGAATATATAATAAATAGTGATTGTAATCATGATAATAATTAGAAACGATACAAGAATGAAAATCAATATTATAAACCCCCGCTTCTCACTGCCCGTTGATTTAAAAATGTTTTAAAGTCGATCTAGCTTTCATTTTACCAACTATAAATTTGCTGAAAATTTGCGTAAAGAAATAAAGCTTTTCGACACAGTCATGTGGAAATAGATATACAGATGTATGCCCGACAAATGATTATGCTTGGGTATATAAGGTGACATGTGGAAGCCGGAAAAGGAGGTCAGTCATAATTGTAATGTTATGTATTCGCATTTTTCTCTTTTAAAAATCGTATCATTTTAACTTCAGAGCATAATTGGAAACACAAGTATATAATCAATGGCGTACTGATAGTCTACACACTGAAGGGGCACTTACATAATTTGAATTTGAATTTGAATTTGTTGACCACCATTGAAACAAAATATATATATGAATGTACAATGACGATGTCAATATAACATAAATACATGGGGGGATCTGATTAGGTGGACAAGAAATTGATTTTAAGGTCATCAAATTGAGTTAGAATGCATGGAAAGAGTGGTATTCTTGTCTGCTTTTCAAACTTCTCCCCCCCCCCACTCGCCCTTTCTTCCAACACGATCACAAGACTTTGAACAAATATAACTGGAGTGTATTTCAAATCGATATAGGCCTAATACATTTTTGTATCGGCTATATAACTCTTATTTGGATTATGTAAATTGTTATTAATATTGTTAGAACATTTTTAAAAGGAGACGCACAATGCTATTGAAATTGCCTTAGTTTGAATTTTTTTTGAATGAAGTCTTTGTGATTCGTGATTACTCTCTTTTTCTATTCTTGCAATCCGATTCGGGAGGGCTCAGTCAGTAGAGCATCCGCCTCACAACCGGGAGGTCGTGGGTTCGAACCCCGGCCGCGTCATACCAAAAGACGTTAAAAGACGGGAGTTGCTGCTACCTTGTTTGGCGTTCAACAATAAAGGATAGAGCAACGTCGATCTGGCGCTGCTCAGTGGCTGCCGGGCTCACGATCAATTGGGCAAAAAGAATTTCCATTTTCGGTTTAACTTAATAACATTTGGAGTGGAGTGGACTTTAAAAGATTATTATTATTATTATTATTATTACTATATCATAAAATTATGGTCATTCTTACTGAGATGTGTTGAGTGAGTCTGAGATCATAGCGCCGGCCAAACCAAATGTGTCCTGTCCATTGAAGTTTGTGTTGAAGAACTGAGGATGACCTACGACACGGTTTAAGGTTCAAAGGTCAAGGTTCAAGGTTGGCAATTATTTAACAAAATATTATTCATAGCAGTTTAAACCGTAAATATTACTATTTCTTACTTTCTTTCTTTATTAATTTATTTCTGCATGGTTCAACAGTTTACATAGTATGATCATTACGGTAGTAAACACTAGATTACGATCATTATACATTTTGCAATTGTAAATAATAAGGAAGCATACAGAAGTAGGCCAATATCAGCTTAATACTTGAGAGATTGCCACACCTTATCATCTAACGATATATTTGTGAAGTGGTAGAAGAGAAGAGGGGAAAAAATCAAGTCGCTCTGTTTAAAGGCCATCTGAATACCACAGCACGAATTAGAGGCTAAACAGAACACATCGCATCAAACAGGTCAATTTAGTCATTGATATGTTTGCTTTTTAGTCCCAAAAGAAATCGCAACGACTCAGCCAGCCGCTGAATAAGTAGGGGGGGGGGGGGGGGGGGGGTAAGTAAGAGCATATTTTTTTCTTCTTTTGGGTGACTAAAAAATCGCAACGATTTTTAGGTCACGAAATTTGTAAATTTGACATTATTCTCCGTTGGGGGGGGGGGGGGGGGGGGGGGGGGGGGGGTGACCAGGTCAGCTGTTGGCATATTTATTTTTATTTTTATTTGTTTAAATTAATTAATTAATTAATGTTTTTTTGGCCGAGGGGGGGGGGGGGGCACGTCCCTGTTTTTCAGTACATTTTGGGCGAATTTAGGGCTGATTTTAACATATTTTTTGGGGCCGGGGGGGGGGGGGGAGCACGTTCCCCCTGTGCCCCCCCCCCCCTGGATCCGTCCCTGGTATAGTGGCGCGTGTGCTAATTGCCATCATTGTTTCGACTAGCACGACTATAGCGCATGATAACGCAATCGAAATTACACTTCGTGTGCAACAGCTACACCAAAGACAAATTAGCCAATCAATTCAACACAGTTCAGCCACTCTTATTAATTTAGCCTCAAATCACTTTGGGTACGATATAACAAAGTGCATCAGATACTGCGACATTCGCTGACGCAGTTCTAAGTTAGTAAAATGACGCATCCTGTGCAATTGGCACGAAGCCAACCGCACACGACACGATCTTCATGCGATCCGATTTTCGAAGAAATGGCAATAAATATATCAGATATAGAAATTCAACCAAATAGTCACCTTCCTGACGTAGATTATTAATGATGATAAGAATACGAACAACCGAAATGATAGTGCATTTTAGCTTTCTAGTCAGAATAAAAGCCGAATCGAATCGGCTTCAAATCGTAGACAATCGCACTGCTGTTACGACGTCACTACGATTCCGATCCGACTTTTACGCCTCCAAATTAGCGTGCAATCCATTTGAATTTGATTAAGTAATCATGTGACTAGTCAAATCATCAATCATTAGGAATTTAGAAGTTTAAATGTTCATATGAAATGATATTGCAAATTCTTCTAGAATTGGATCGTATTCAGATCGTAGAGTATGCGATGGGAATAAGAATGGTTGGAGAATGATTGTTGTAGGCAGGGGCGTCGCTAGACCTTTTTCAGTGGGGGGTGTAGAGGCCAACGATTACCGACAAAACTAGCCACCAATTACCGACAAAATTAAATGTCCAATATCTTCAAATTCAACCATATAAACCTCCGGCCGAAGGCTAAATTGTTTTTCGTATGGACTACTTGCATATGCGCAAAATTGTCATTTTCCTCGACGACATAAATATACGAATTATTTCTTCAATTTAGTCAGCATCATCGCTATATATTTTAATGCAGGCGCGGAGCTAGGATCTTATTTTAGGGAGGGGCGGTAGTGAGCAAGAGAATCACTTAAAGGCGCGCTCATTAGGGGGATGTGGGTGAAGGGGCTCTCGCGCGAAGCGCGGAAGCTTAGACGTTTCCTTAAATTATTAGGAAAAGAAGACGATTAATTGTACCGTTTTCGACGGGTAATCCTTGGCTGAATGAAGTTTCCCAATCCCGCGCGAAGCGCGAAACCTTTGACGTTTCATTTAATTATTATAAAAAAGAAGACGATTTGCTGTACGTTCTCGACTGTTTATCCTTTTCTGAATTCAGTTCCCCCCCCCACCCGCGGAAGCTTTGGCGTTTCATTAAAATTATGAGAAAAAGCAGACATTTTGGTGTACTGTTCTCGACTCTTAATCCTTATCTGAATGAAGCTTCCCCCTCCCGCGCTTCGCGCGGAAGTTTTGACGTTTCATTAAATTATTAGAGAAAGAAGACGATTCGTTGTACCGTCTTCGACTCTAAATAAACCCTATTATTTTGTCTGAATTCAGTTTCCCCCTCTCGCGCGAAGCGCGGAAACCTTTTCTGAATTCAGTTCCCCCCCCCCCCCCCCCCCCGCGGAAGCTTTGACGTTTCATTAAATTATGAGAAAAAAGCAGACATTTCGGTGTACTGTTCTCGACTCTTAATCCTTATCTGAATGAAGCTTCCCCCTCCCGCGCGAAGCGCGGAAGTTTTGACGTTTCATTAAATTATTAGAGAAAGAAGACGATTCGTTGTACCGTTTTCGACTCCAAATAAACCCTATTAATTTTGTCTGAATTCAATTTCCCGCTCTTGCGCGAAGCGCGGAAACTTTGACGTTTCCTTAAATTATTAGAGAAAGAAGACGATTCGTCGTACTGTTCTCGACTCGTCTACATGAAGTTTTCCCCTTCCGCGCGAAGCGCGGAATTTTTGGCGTTTCATCACAATATCGAGAAAGGAAAACGATTCCTCGTACCGTTTTCGAATCTTATTAAGCCCTATACATCTGAATTCATTATCCCCTCTCGCGCGAAGCGCGAAAGCTTTGACCTTTTTCTTAAATTATTAGAGAAAGAACACGATTCGTTGTACCGTTCTCGACTCTAAATAAGCCTAATTAATTTTGTCTGAATTCAGTATCCCCTCTCGCTCGAAGCGCGGAAGCTATGACGTTTCCTTAAATAAAGAAGACGATTCGTTGTACCGTTCTCGACTCGCCTAAATGAAGTTTCCCCTTCCGCGCGAAGCGCGGAATTTTTGGCGTTTCATCAAAATATAAAGGAAGGAAGACGATTCGTCGTACCGTTGTTGACTCTTAAACTTTTTTTGAATTTAGTTTCCCCGAAAATTTTAAACCTCTGATTTCTTTAGCTGATATTATAGGAAAGTGAAACTTCGAGAAAATACAAGTATTGTAGTTGTAGTCACTCTCGAAGTCGTCACAGCGGATAAGAAGTCACAGTTCGGAGGGAAAAAAACTTTTCGGCCGACCGACAATATACATCTCACCGACTTCAAACTTCTGCATTGATATAGTACACGAGGATCGAGCAAGCAACCGACACAGCTGACCCGACACAGCAACATATTTACCCGTGTCTTTCTTGCTCCCTCGACGAGACGACTCCACCCGACAACCCCCCTTTCTCTTTTACTCCCACTCCTCCTCTCTCAGGCTCTTACCTCCCCTCTCTCTCCTCTATTTCATGCCCCGTTTCTTTTGTTTCCCTTTCACTCTTTTTTCTTCTTTTTTCCTTTTTTTTCTTTTCCTTTCTTTCCTCTCCCTCTTTTTCCTTTTTCTCTTTCTTTCTTCTCTTTTCTTTCCTTTCTTTTCCTTTCTTTCCTTTCTTTTCCTTTCTTTCTTTTCTTTTCCTTTTCTTTTTTTCTTTTCTTTCCCTTTCCCTCTCTCTTTTCCCTCTCTTTTTTTCCCTCTCTTTTTTTCCCTCTCTTTTTTTTCCCTCTCTTTTTTTCCCTCCCTTTTTTTCCCTCCCCCTTTTCTCTTTTTCCCGACGGCAGCGCAATTTTACCGACAATATCCTGACAGGTGGGGGGGGGGGGGGTGTCGCACCCCCCCACACCCCCCCCCCTTTGGCGACGCCCTGGTTGTAGGCCTACCTGTCTTCACACTGTAGTCATAAGTATCTTGACAAAGCTCCAGAAGTCGTTCTGTCGTCTCGGGGTCATCTTGAAGTTTGAAGTCAAAAGTTTTGAGCAGTTCTTCGGGATGCTTAAAATTCACAACTGGTATCAAGAGAAAAGAAGTCCGAAGTTATATAAGAGTCCTGGAATTCATGGTCGTAAGTCCTGATTCCGCCCCGATTCTTTTACCCCCCCCCCCCCCCATGGTACGCGTATGCACGTTCCCTCCTTTTGAAAACACGCCCCTAAGTCCGGTGTGTAAAGTCAATACGGGCCGGATTTTTGTGTACTACGATCCGGACTTTGGTGCGTGAAAAGTACCCCTTTACCGGAGTGGGGGGGGGGGGGGGGGGAGGGCAAACTTTGTTAACAAGTGGGCCCTTATAAAAAAAAATCTTGCTCATAGTTGAGATTGGGAAACAGAATGAATGATGATAAATTAAATTAAATGTATTGCTACAAAAATGACTGATTGTTAATATTATTGACACCTTTTTTTCTTCAAGGTAGGAATTTCAAGAGTAAAAAAGACTGCTGTTCACAAATATTCAAGGTAGGAAACACACATAATGAAGATAACAAGTATAACAAAAATGAAGTGAGTAGCTAACATTATAACAAAATTAAATAAGGAATACATGATAATTCAATGTCATTTGAATGAATAAACAGGAGAAGAGAAGAGACGCACGAAGTGGGTTAAAAGAGACAGGAAAAAGAGACAGGGTTGAACAAAGAGAAAGAGAAAGAGAGAGAGGAGAGAGTGAGAGATGGGGAAAGGAAGAAAGAGGAAGCGAAAGAGGAACTGATCGAGAGAAAAAATAATGACAAACCTTTGCAGTCCCCGTTGAGTTGTTTCTCCACTCCTTCTTTTAGAATCAGGTCAAAGACTTTACTGAGAAACTCCTTTTCGGATTCTCTTGATGACGTCATCATGGTCCCCGGATGTTCACTGTCCGTCATCCTTACGCCTCGAGTGAACCTTGAGATGAGAAAATGATGACGAAATATTTATTAAATAGATAAAAATGGTGATTTAATTAAAATGAAGTCCACCCTGATATCAAGCTAATTTTTAATAGAAGCAGATAAATGAGAGAAACATGTCAGTGAAAGCTTGAGCAAATTCCTGAAAGTTATGACTTTTTAAAGTTGTGATCAATGAAACATAAATTGGCAACGCTGTGACATATCTTGCGAGCTCCGATTCCATTTGCTCTGTACTAAAAACAGAAATCAGAATTCTTTATTTTCCCCTCAGGAAAATGTTCAATCATACATGCACCCTGAATATAATAACTGCAAAAAATTATGTTGCTTTACAACCCTTGTATGGAAAAAAAGAAGAAGAATCTATTCCATCATCAATACATAATTAATGAAGAAAATAAAAGTTCATGAAAACCATCATAAAAAATTATAGGGTACATAATATATAGGCTTCCCATTGAAACAAAGAAACAACCCCATTTGTCCTGTATTTTCAAGTCATGGTTAACCCTCGATTGATATGCATACTTCTTGAGATTTTGTCACATATATTACCAAAATGTGATACCAGTGGGGACGGTAATAAATGTGGGCGTGGCTGACGAAGGGGTAACGGCTTGCGCCCGTCCCGACACCAATCGGGCCATTGGACAATTATCCATGGGTGATTGTTTCATTATTTTTTCAATAATAAAATGAGAGGAAAATAATTACATTCAATATGAATGAATATAGTAGCCCATATGTATATATATATTATATAGTATAAAAAGTCAATGTTCTAATATAATAGAGAAAAAGGTATGTAATCTTAGACTAAGCAGATCAACATATTCGAGGGGAGTATTGTTGTCACAGCGCTAAATCATAAATTAAGTCACGTAAATGTCTACAGTATGTTGAACTAGGTAGTGGAGGGTGAGGTATTTCTGCTTTTAGCTTTAATTAGTCAAACACAATCTGATAAAGTCAAAGATAATTCATAGGAATTAAAGACCGTGCCAATACTCACTGCGATTGAAATCTCAGAATTGTTCGAATGCTCGAAGGTACAGGTGGAGCTGCCGTTTGCGCTCCGTGTGATTTCACAGAGTCACACGAAGAAATGAACGCTGAGCGAGCTACACAACCTGCCCACACACCGGGCACCCACGGTTCGGCGGACAATGCACGCACGAGCCGGGTCAGCGAAGCCATCGAAAGCTAAAAGATTTATGTAGACGTCGTAAATAGACTCTATTTTATGTACAGTCCCACTCGTAAGGTTCCAAAGGGCAAATCCTGACCGAAAATGGACAGTGTCTTGAAAATGAATAGTATTCGCGACTTGACGAATCAGGCTCACAAATACAGTTTGACTTTTGATAGACCAAATGGGCCTATATAATTGACACCCATACAATTGGTATTATGATAGCTGTATAGGCCTACATAGAATTTGATCTTCGTGCTATGCAATGGAGTCTTATGTCAACGCAGCAAATAACTTCCGCTGAGTGTCATAACGGCACTAACATTATAGCGCTTTATACAGAGTAAACACCTTCTGAATCTAAGCAGACGATAATGGCCTGTCAAATACAAAGTCCAATTGCGATTGTGACGTTGTATTGACAATTGTGTTTGAAATATAGTACGGTCCTATAAAATACATGTAGAAACAGTGGAATAAATAGATTTTTAGAAATGAACAGAATAATAAATTTTGCTTTGTAGGATATGTGAATTAAAGTCCAGTTAAACGAATACAATTAATGTTTTCCTGCCAGGTCTACAAAGAGGTGCCCAGATAGCAAAGTATCTGGGGCCCATATGGATTTTATCTGGGTTGTCTGGGCCCCATATTGCCCAGATGAATCCCATATGGGAAGTAAATGCGAATTGGTATATGGGGCCCAGATAAATGGGGCCCATCTGGTTTATATCCGTGGCCCATATGTACCAGATATAACCCATATGGGCTGCAGATGAGCACTTCTAGATGGGGCCCATATGGTGAAAGATATCTGGGGCCCATCTGGTTTATATCTCTGCCCATATGTACCACATATAACCCATATGGGCTGCAGATGAGCACTTCTAGATGAGGCCCATATGGTGAAAGATATCTGGGGCCCATCTGGTTTATATCTCTGCCCATATGTACCACATATAACCCATATGGGCTGCAAATGGGCATTTCTAGATGGGGCCCATATAGTGAAAGATATCTGGGGCCCATCTGGTTTGTTTCTCGGCCCATATGTACCACATACAACCCATATGGGCTGCAGATGGGCATTTCTAGATGGGGCCCATATAGTGAAAGATATATGGGGCCCATCTGGTTTATTTCTCGGCCCATATGTACCACATCTAACCCATATGGGCTGCAGATGGGCATTTCAAGATGGGGCCCTGATGGTTGAAAATATTTGGGGCCCATCTGGTTTATATCTGGGCCCATATGTACCACATCTAACCCATATGGGCTGCAGATGGGCATTTCAAGATGGGGCTCAGATGGTGAAATATATATGGGGCCTATCTGGTTTATATCTGGGCCCATATATACCACATCTAACCCATATGGGCTGCAGATGGACATTTCAAGATGGGGCTCAGATGGTGAAAAATATATGGGACCCATCTGGTTTATATCTGGGCCCATATGTACCACATCTAACCCATATGGGCTGCAGATGGGCATTTCAAGATGGGGCTCAGATGGTGAAATATATATGGGACCCATCTGGTTTATATCTGGGCCCATATGTACCACATCTAACCCATATGGGCTGCAGATGGGCATTTCTAGATGGGGCCCATATGGTGAAATATATATGGGGCCTATCTGGTTTATATCTGGGCCCATATGTACCACATCTAACCCATATGGGCTGCAGATGGACATTTTAAGATGGGGCTCAGATGGTGAAATATATATGGGACCCATCTGGTTTATATCTGGGCCCATATGTACCACATCTAACCCATATGGGCTGCAGATGGGCATTTCTAGATGGGGCTCAGATGGTGAAATATATATGGGGCCTATCTGGTTTATATCTGGGCCCATATGTACCACATCTAACCCATATGGGCTGCAGATGGGCATTTCAAGATGGGGCTCAGATGGTGAAATATATATGGGGCCTATCTGGTTTATATCTGGGCCCATATGTACCACATCTTACCCATATGGGCTGCAGATGGGCATTTCAAGATGGGGCTCAGATGGTGAAATATATATGGGGCCTATCTGGTTTATATCTGGGCCCATATGTACCACATCTAACCCATATGGGCTGCAGATGGACATTTCAAGATGGGGCTCAGATGGTGAAATATATATGGGACCCATCTGGTTTATATCTGGGCCCATATGTACCACATTTAACCCATATGGGCTGCAGATGGGCATTTCAAGATGGGGCTCAGATGGTGAAATATATATGGGACCCATCTGGTTTATATCTGGGCCCATATGTACCATACATAACTCATCTGGGCTGCAGATGGGCATTTCTAGATGGGGCCCGGATGGTTGAAGATATCTGGGGTCCATCTGGTTTATATCTGGGCCCATATGTACCATACATAACCCATATTGGCTGCATATGGGCATTTCAAGATGGGGCTCAGATGGTGAAAAATATATGGGGCCTATCTGATTTATATCTGGGCCCATATGTACCACATCTAACCCATCTGGGCTGCAGATGGGCATTGCTAGTTGGGGTCTAGATGGTGGAATATATCTGGGGTCCGTCTGGTTTATATATCTGGGCTCATATGTACCACATATAACCCATATGGGCTGCAGATGGGCATACCTAGATGAATCCCATATTGTGAAAAATATGTGGGACTCATTTGGTTTATATTTGGGCCCATATGTACCACATATAACCCATATGGGCTGCAGATGGGCATTTTTAGATGGGCCCCAGATGGTGGAAGATATCTGGGGTCCATCTGGTTTATATCTGGGCCCATATGTACCACACATAACCCATATGGGCTGCAGATGGGCATTTCTAGATGGGGCTCAGATGATCATAAATTAAAAATTTATAAGGAAATGATCTTGTATGTAGTATACAACTACTTCACAATTTATTCTCACCCATAAAAAAAACAAAGTTAAAGTATTAAAAACAAATTATATTTCAATGGGTGCTAATTTTGTTTCAGGATTGGTGGAATGAGAGGCAAACCGTGTGCGTGGACAGTGTGAGCGTACCACTGTGGCCATATGCAGGTTTTTCTGTAGGTTTTTTATTGGCTGCTGAACTATTTTTTCAAACATGCAGTGGATGGGGGCACGTATATACCATTGTGATGTGATGTGCATAGAAAACGGCATCTTGTTTCCAGACACACACATTATCCGCATCGTCATTGGGTCAACCCCTCCCCCCCCTCCCCCCCCCCCCCCCCCCCCCACCGTTAAAGAGCCTGCGTTGAGTAGTGGGAGCGAAATTTCCCCTCACTGAAACTAGGTATTTCATGGCTTGAAATACTAGAAATATGCATATAAGAGTTTATACATGAAGACAAAGTCATTATATAATGTCATAATATGATAATCTAGCTCAAAATAAATGTTTAAGAATGCCAGTTCGCAAGTGCATGCTCACCAACGGTCCAATTCAAAATTCAAACTGCTCGATCGTGATAATTGTTGTTACTATATAGCGCCATCTTTCGGCGAACCAGTGCCGTTAGCTGTCCTTTGGTGGCGCGCGAGTCTAATATTGTCTTAGCGAGATACCGAGAGCAATATATTCTTGTATCACACTGACGAAAGCATCATTTACTAACACTGTAATCATGGGTGTCGATCCCGGGGGGGATGGGGGGGGATATATCCCCCCCAATATTTCAGGTGGGGGGGATGGCCTGTACAATCATCCCCCCCCCCAATAATTCACCATAAAATTATTTTTTTAAATGAAGAGAAAAATTAATGATGAGAGTCCGATGAGAGTAGTTAATTGTTATTACTCGCAAGATGACCATCAATATACACATTTTGCTATCTCATTTTCATAATACATACATTATATACGAAGTTAATAAGACAACCGTATATGAGACAAGAATAAATTGAATTCTCGCTCATACGGCTTCATCAGGAATTGATGAATTTATTCAATTTGTTCAATCAACAGCATATCATAGAAATGCAGTGCGCCAAATGCAAAGACGCAGCATCAAAAGCAACGAGCTAAATGTTAAGCGCGAAGCACAAAAGTAGCAATCTGCAATGCACATCAGACAATCCTGGACAGTGTAAACATAGATGAACTCTGTGACGATTTCGTGATGAGATCGGAGACAAAGAGAAAGATTTTCGGACATTAGTATGACTTATAAAATAGTTCACTAGTTGTTATGTTGTTTCCGTTCACCCTTTTTAAAATTCACGTCATTGTATCTTTATTTTTATTTTTTTCACTCATTTTATTTCCTGATATTTCCTAAAACATTTTTCATTTTTGGAGAAAGATTATTATGTCACAACTTATTTTCAGTTGGGAAACTGAATTCAGACAAGGATTAATATAGAGAACAGTACAATGAATCGTCTTCTTTCTCTAATAATTTAGCGAACAGGGCAAAGCTGTTAGGGGGGCAACTGAATTCAGACGTGGATTAAGAGTAATAATCAAATGAAACGTCAAAGTACACGATACAACTAATCGTCTTCTTTTACTAATAATTTAATAAAACGTGAAAGCTTCCGCGCTACGCGCGGAATGGGCGAAAGTGAATACAGACAAGGATAAAGAGTAATAATTTATTGAAACATTAAAGCTTCCGCGCTTCGCGCGGTAGGGGGGAAACTGAATTCATGAAGGACACGATACAACAAATCGTCTTCTTTCTCTAATAATGTAATAAAATGTGAAAGCTTCCGCGCTTCGCGCAGGATTGGGTAAAAATGAATTCAGACAAGGATTAAGAGTCGAGAATGGTACATAGAATCGTCTTCTTTCTTTAATAATCTAATGAAACGTCAGAGCTTCCGCGCTACGCGCGGGGGAAGGGGAACTTGATTCAAACAAGGATTAAGAGTCGAGAATGGTACATCGAATCGTCTTCTTTCTTTAATAATCTAATGAAACGTCAGAGCTTCCGCGCTACGCGCGGGGGAAGGGGAGCTTGATTCAAACAAGGAATAAGAGTCGAGAATGGTACATAGAATCGTCTTCTTTCTTTAATAATCTAATGAAACGTCAGAGCTACCGCGCTACGCGCGGAGGAAGGAGAATTTAATTCAAACAAGGATTAAGAGTCGAGAACGGTCCAACGAATCGTCTTCTTTCTCTAATAATTTAGTGAAACGTCAA